GTAACTTGAGGTGATAGTGGGAGGAGGGGTATTTGATATCAACTGGGAAAGTAGGTTACTCTAAACAAGCACAAGAAAGGGAGCAAGCTGGAACCCCCCCTTCTTTCTTTCTTTTACATCTGGAGTATTCTAATTGTTTAAACAAGGGGACCATGAAACCCAAAGTGAAACGAGGGAAATATTCAATGAAATCAAATATGCTTTGATTTCTGTAGAAGGAGACATTTACGCACAATTGACTCCATGTGGGGAATAAAAATACTTTTTTCTGGTAACCACTCTGAAGAAAAGCCATTGTATCAGGGACAAGAGACGTGTAACAGTGTGATTTTGCTAGGTCTGTGCCTCCCTCTCCTCATTGATGTCAAGACAACAGAACTTCCCCTGGGTCGCTGACCAATTTGCGACCATTTTTCTATAGTAGCTACTGGGATCAAATTTCAGCGGAGAGCTTTGCTGTCTACCTGGCTAGATGTGGTATCACAAGCAAGAATGAGTGCTCACTCAGCGTCTTCGCGGGGCGGGGAATATCACCATTTGGTGCCTGTGTGAAAATTGACTTCCTCGAGAGCTTGTTTATGCAACCAGGGATATATCTGTCAGTGTTTCACAGCTTATTGATTTAGGGGGGTTATTTTTTTCTGGGATAAGCCATGCTGTATCATGTTTGTGGCTGTGGCAGTGACTCCTCACCACAAACAGTGCTTGGGTCCTGGAGGAGATTGTGGCAGGGCAGGGGAGGGGAAATTGTAGAGTGGGGGGGTGAGAGAGAAAGGATGAGAAGAAGGTAGACAGAGATGAGGAGAGAAAGGGATGAGCAAGAATGTGTGTGTATATAAGTACATGTGCAAGAGACCGAGTCAGTGAGATAAGACAAGACACAGAGATGGATGGGAGAAAAAGAGTGAAGGGAGAAAGTGGCAAGGGAGACACCAAGATGAGGAAGAAGGTGTGGGGACAGAAAGTGCCACAGGAGAGGAAAAGAGTGCCTCTCGTTGATTTGGAACTTAGATGGCAAATGGGGATAGATGCAGGGAGAGAGTCACACACCTCAGAATTTACTAGCCCAGCACACCCTTCAACATTTCTCTGATGAAAGTAAAGATAAAGGGACCCCTGACCATTTGGTCCAGTCGTGACCAACTCTGGGGTTGTGGCACTCATCTCGCTTTATTGGCCGAGGGAGCCGGCGTACAGCTTCCAGGTCATGTGGCCAGCATGACTAAGCCGCTTCTGGCGAACTAGAGCAGCGCACGGAAACACTGTTTACCTTCCCGCCAGAGGGGTACCTATTTATCTACTTGTACTTTGACGTGCTTTTGAACTGCTAGGTTGGCAGGAGCAGGGACCGAGCAACGGGAGCTCACCCCGTCACGGGGATTCAAACTGCTGACCTTCTGATCAGCAAGTCCTAGGCTCTGTGGTTTAACCCACAGTGCCACCCACGTCTCCTGATGAAAGTAGGGCCATCCTATTCCATGATGATGATGACAACAATAACAACTTTATTATTTATACCCCACCCATCCTACTAGGTTGCCCCAGCAACTCTGGGTGGATTCCAACATATAACATACTAAAACATCAAACATTTAAAAACCTTCCCTATACAGGGCTGCATTCAGATGTCTTCTAAAGGTTGTATAGTTACGGTACTTATCTCTTTGGCTCAGAGGTCGCATAACTCCATACTCTACAACAGATTTCTGTTGAAAATAGGGACATCCTACCATACCCTCCAATATTTCTCCAGTGTAAATAGGGATGCCCAAAGGAAAAGTGGGACATTCCAAGATCAAATCAGAAACCAGGACGGCTTCTGTAAATCTGGGACTGTCCCTGAAAATAGGGACACTTGGAGGATCTGGCCCAGACCTTGAATGCAGACCTCTAATCTTTATTTGCATGGGAACTCCATGCATTAATCTTGCATTCCTGGGTAAGCATGTGGATTTTATATGCTGCAATCCTATAACCACCTCACCTGGGAGGAAGTTGGGACATCTGAGCAGAGTTATATAGGATTGTGCTGACAGTGTATCAGCTGCATTAATCTCCCAATAAGAAACCACTGATTTATATGGTCGCATAACCCACAGAAACAGAGGAAATTTTGAAAATCATAGATATCCAGGTATTCTTTCTCTTGCCGCATTCTCTGATCAATCCATCAAACACCTCAAACAAATCTGAGTCTTAAATTATTGTTCTCCCTCAGGACAATTATGTATGTGAACAAGCCCTTGGAAATAAAAGCCTGGTGTGAGCAGCTAACCACAGAAAACCTGGCCTTCAGTGAATGGTGGGAATTCAATGCACAATTTGCAGTTACTTCCTTCAAGTCAGGGATCAGGAACCTGTGGTCCTTCAGATTTTGTTGGATTATAAATTCCATAATCTCCTACTATTGTCCAAAATGGCTGGGGTTGATGGGAGATGGGAGTTCAATAACATTTGGATGGGCAAAAGTTAGAAACTTCCTGCTTTAAGTGCTGAATTTCAGATTCATTCTGATCTTTGTGCAAACAAGATGCAAAGGCTAACATGCTGGGCAACTACTAGCATTGTCTGTTAATGACAAGCTTCTGTACAGCTGCATCTGAAACTCATGGCTGCAGCTGGGTCAATGCCCAGAGGCAATAAGGCCTTGGGGTACACAGACTTCTGCTCTGCCTGTTGCAAGATCAGTCTAACTGCATGTCCTTCAGCACACCAAAGCCCAATGATACCAGCCACAAATTCATTCTAATCACTTGTCTTATTGAAATCACCACTCCGTGTTGACACAAATCAGTTTTGACATATAGATCATGGAAAGAGTCAGACAGCTTTCGGTTGATTGTATATCCCTGCAGGTTAGACGATGCATGTTAATAGGGCAGCTTTGTCCAGTGTTTGTAAACAGAGAAGATTAGATCTAGGGCTGCCAGCTTGGCACCTTATGCCATCAGTTTAAAGAATTCAGCGATAATCCACTCAGAACAGAATGCAGGCTTCTTAGTACTAATTCACATGACTGCTGAGTGCAGCGCTGGACACTTTAAATAGCAGATTGACGTTTGCTTGAGGTGAACGGGTCATGTGAGGCCCAAATCTCCAGAAAGTGTGTGGAGACATGCGTAACTGTGGTGTGGACTAACAGCTGAAACCCCTCTCACAACCCCATTCACCAAGGAGAAAGCTAGAATCTAAGCAGAACTCAAAACAACCAAATCATTCTCGTTGGTAATCAGCTAACAGGGGAGGAAATCTCAGTCAGCAGGGCAGGTCATTTAAGGAAATAAATGTTTATCATTTATGGATGTACCTTTTCACTTAAGAAAATGGAAGGGGGAATTTGTCAGGGTTGAATGACTTTAGCTTTCAGGTTAATTAGTTCTGATCCATTCTTGCTGGGGGGTTTTAACCAGACCATAATGAAAAAAGGGGATGAGACAGAACATCTGCTTCCAAAATGTGTCTGGGGAGACTGTTCCTTTCTCTGTAGGCCATGCCCGGTCTCTTCTTCCCCTTGTTTTCTGTATGTCATGCTCCCACACATTAAAAATAATGTTAGAAGTGGGCACTCTGGACCAAGGGACAAACTAGCTGCCTGGATCTGTAAGAGCTCCTTTGTCTTTAACAGTTTTTGCCTGTGTCAGGCAGCTGGTGGCAACAGAAATGGAGCCGCTACTGGTAAACACCAAGGTGCAAAAAGAACCTGAGAAAACAGAACATTTTCAATTCTTTCATTTACCATTCAGATAGGATCACTTGCCCCCAAACATGCTAGGGACTGTATACAAGCAAGTGAAATGCTGAGAAAATTGAATGAATGCTGCTGCTGAATAATACTTTGGGTATTATTCAACTAAATATGTGCAATAAAACTTTCCCTGCTCTCCTCTCCGCATCCATTCCCATATCTGCTCTATAGGGTTGGGGAAACCCGAAGATATACTTGGCAGTGGGAGCAGAGGGAGATAACATTCCATTGTGCAAGGAGGAATGCTTGCTCTCACAGAATGCTCTCCTTAGCACTGCACTGAATACAACCCTCGTATATTATTGCGTTGGTGTTTTCTACAGAGAGTATGAAAATCAACAGCCACTGCTATCTCAGAATATGATTTACATTGACAACCAAATTTTTATATTTTTAGAAAAAGACTTGGAAGTGATAACAATAAAGCTTGGGAGTGGGATCAACTATTCCCTTTTAAACCAGGCTGATGGGCCAAGGTCAGGCAGGGAAAACAGTTCTCTCTAATCTGAAGAGGGGACTCAACTGAGGTGAGGAGGAAAGATTGACCCCTGGTTGAGCAGGGCTGTCTTCCCATCCATCCTTTCCAGACTAGAAACGCATATATACCATAACTGAGCCTACATACCATACACAAACCTATTTCTGCCATTTATCCATTGAGAATAGTTATAATAATAATAATAATTTATTATTTATACCCCACCCATCTGGCTGGGTTTCCTTCTTATTACCTTTAGGGTCATTTTCAGACATCTCATTTACAGTTTTGCTAGGGCATGTAATAGATCTCTTTAAAAGAGTCTTTTCCCGCCCATCGCAAGGCTTTTGATAGACATACTGATCAATGCATTGAGCACTGATTGAGTCATGTCTCTTGCACCTCATTCACACTCTCAAATTGATTAGATTAGAGTTGGGGCAGGCCTTAAACTGTGTGCCTGGGGCCCCTTTAATTCCTGGATCCAGCAAGGGTTGAGTTCTAATGGAGGATTCAATTGTTGGTATAGTCAGGCCAGCTTGAGTTAAAGGCCCACTAAATTTGGGTCCTTAGGTGTAGTGGGTTTAGGGGTTGCTCGTGCGTAAGTTGCCGCCACTCCTGGCTAGGTTACCTGGTTAAACCCTTTCTGACTGAACAGCCTCCAGCATCATGACTGTCTCAGTCACTGGCAGAATCCATCAGTGGGCGTTTCTTAAACTTCTTCCAGCACAAAAGTTCCTTGACGCCAAGTCTCCTCCTACTCTCCCTGCGCGGAAGTCTTCTGTGCAGGGAGGGTGTGGGCAGTGGAGTACCCGTACTCTCTCCGCTGGTCTCCGGCAAGGAGTCTTGGAGCCTCCTCTCCGATTCCCCCATCTGCCCCCCTTCTCTACTGGTGTTACGCTGATTTCCTTCCCCAGCAGACGGGCTCCCTCTCTCCCTACTGGGACCCTCTCCGCCATCCCTTTGGAGCCTTCCCTCCGCTTCCAGCTCCAATGGCAGTTCCCTGACATTAGGGTAACAAAGAAAGTGGCTTTGTGCCAGAGGGCAAATGGGTGGGCCTCCCTCCCTCCCCAGCTGTTGGTGAGAAGGGTCAGAGTTGGGTTAAAAGCAGATAGCAGGCAGAAACCTGAGAGGGAGAGAAATATTTGATTTCTGCTTGACTCCAAGGCTGTGGCTACAGGAGAAGCCAGACCTTCTTGGGGTGTTAATGCTGTGAGACCCTCCACCATAGGCTCAGGTTGTATATATGTGTAAATAAACCATATATCCTAAAGACACCACAGTCTCCACTGCCCCTCATTCTGAGGAAACCAAGCACCTGGACCCCTTGGGGTCTTGCACCATTTGGAGTGTGGGGTGGCATGCAACAGTATGTACCTTTGGCCACAATCATAGAACGAGTTGCTGGAATTGTCATTCTGCTTGTTCAGTGTCCTTCCCTTATATGTCCTCAAGTTAAATCTCCTCCCCCCCCCTTTATTCTGCCCTTCCTCCATGGAACTCTGGAAAGTGTACATGATAGCTGCTTCCAAATTATCCCGTGATGTATTTTAAGCAGAGAGGCAGTGAGATTTGCCCAAGATGACACAGCAACCGACACAGCTACATGAAGACCTAAAGTCCTAAGTCAGATATTCTAACCATTACCCCACACTGATACTCAAATCTCTGGCAGACTGGAGGTAGGGTTTGTCAGGACGCATGTATAACCTGCTCTTTCGTGTGCTACAGTGAGATTCTTTTGGAATAGTGGATATTGCAGGAGAATTATGTTTTTCAAGTACATAATTTAACCACAGTTACAAATAACCTCTTTGCTCTTAAATGATTCCAGGAGAGGTTGCTATAAACTAAAGAAATAGTGCATGAAGCACTATGCCACTGTTTTCCAATGTTGGAGAATATGAAATCAGTTCTCTTTGCTCTAAGAATTCATATAAATAAGTTGTCCATACATAAACCAAGGTACACAACTTCCCAGGCCACCCTTTTATAGTTCCCATATTTCTTTCCACTAAGAACAAAAAAGCTAATCATGTTTTTTAAAGAACTTTTCAGCTAAAAAGGAATATGTTTCCAGAAATCAGGAGTGCATTGAAAGTTATTGGAGTTAAATTTGGCATATGCAGGGCGGGGATCCCTGACGAAATGTAGTGTGGGATGTAAGCATCTTAATGAATGGAAAGAGCACTTCTTCCATTATCAACCTATCACATGTTCTCTCCATTCATCCTATCAGAATATGAGTCACCTTTTATAGTTGCAAATGTTCCGAGAGGGATTATATACACAACAACTCCCAGGAATGACTCTTTGGTTATCTGTGTTCTTGATGACTTCAAAATTACTGTATACATAGACGGATTTGAACATTTGATTCTCTGCTGTATGTAATAGTATATTGATTAGAGACAGAGTCTGGAAAACATTACATCTCTGTTGTATGTGTGTGTGTTTTCACTGTTTCTCCTGAAATCTCTTATGGAACAATAGTGGTGTCTGAGGTTTGAATGCCAAGTTCTCTGTGAGTTTGGAAAAATGGTTAGATACTTTCAGTTCACAAGCCGTCTGAACAGCTGTGTGGGCACAACTTAAACATTGAAACTACAATCACTAGAATTTCCAGTGAGATCCATTAATTCCAAAGCAATTCACCTCCCAAGTGTGTGGGATGCTGGGAGCTCCCAGTCTGTTTGGGAGGAGAAAAGAAGAGAACACAGATTGGCGTCTTCTGTAATAATTTAGAGGCTACTGGCTGTAGTTCTTTGCTCTAAATGTTAATAGACTTGAGTAATCAGAACCCACTACTGGTAAATTATTTATCATATCTTTGGAACTCAGGAAAGCAACTCATCCAGCAACTTCTATAGAAACATACTGTTGAAAGGTACTTTGGTCAAGAATTCCCGGCTGGAATTTTTACTTTTACCAAGGAAAGAGGGTGTGTGTGTGTTTGGGAGCATGTGCAGATGTAGCTGCCAATGCACATGTTTTCAGGAAGAGATGAAGTCATGACAAGATTAGCAGAAAAATTCAATTAGGGCTGACTTCACCATGGCAGCCAAACAGGTCAAGTTTGGGACGGTGACGAAGGCGTTTGTTATTATCAGAAAGCCTCTAGTGCTTGCCAAAAGTAATGTAACTTCTTGCATTGAAGCCTGGATTTGAGCCAATGAAACTTCAACCTACTTTTAACAGAAGTACTTCTTCAGAGAAGCTGTCAGCCATTTCTAAGAGAGAAATCCTATACGGCAACTGTGCTGGGGGCAGAGACAGGCTGCTGTTCCGCAGGCAGCACGGACATTGTACAGAGCATCCTTTGCAAGATGGGGGCAAGCCACTGTGCTTGTCTTTACATATGTATGTTGCAATGTGCAGACACACAGTCACATGCATATATGTATTCTATGCATTTAATAAACTTTGAATAAGAAAGAATTCCGTTTTTGAAGCATAACTGTGCTTAGAAAAAGTTGTGGGACAGAGACTCAGTGGCAGAGCTTATGCAAAAAGCCCACATTCAATTCCCACCTTTTCCAGGTATGAATGGGGGTGACTCTCTCTCAAACCACTACCAGTCAAATGTAGACAATACTGAGCAAGATGGACCAGTGGTCTGACTCAGTATATAAAGCAGTTTCTTTACATGGGCGTACCCAGGATTTTCGTTGGGGGGGGCAGGACTTTTGTGGGGGGGGCAGAACCTACATGATTGGTATCTCTATTGTTTTACTTGATGGGGGGACAGCTGCCTCCCTGCCTCCCCTTGACTACGCCCATGGTTTCTTATGTTCTTATGTAGGTTGTGGAGCTCCTTGGGTAATAGAAAAAACACTTGTCATTCAAGAAAGTGTTTTTATGGGTCCAGAGAAGGACAGCATCGCCTACAATATTAGCCCCAAGGGAAGCTGCATGTGATACGTAGCCTATCAATACTACTTGAGGGTAGCAACCTATATCACACTGGGCAATTGTAATCTTCCTGCTTCATTCTGTCATGTTTTTTCTTAGATGCCTTCTGATAAATTTAATTCAGAAGTAAAGAAACAATAAGTATCCCAGCTATGTTCCTTTTACAAATATTACCACTTGCCTATTTTTGGTTGTTTTATTCCTTTTGGGTATGGATATATACAGTTTTATGACTATAGAATAATAGAAGCGCTGAAAATGGAAACATAAAAACAATATTATGCTATGCCCTCATCTTGCACATTGATTTATCTTTCTTGATAATAGCAAGGTTTGAGGACATTTTATGCACTTCTGACTAAAATGTTTAAATAACTGAAGATACAAACCAGGAGTAAGCATTTGCTCTTTTTCTAAGTCAAGTTGCATTTTCTCTTTGAGTTTCATTTACATGACAAAAATCTGTCTGTTTCACTTGTATTTATAGAGAGTTTCACTTTCAGATTACAATAGTTGGCTTCCGAGGAAGTTAGTGTTTGCTTGTTTTTTAAACAGCTGCTCCCTTCCACTTCACAGGAAAGAAAAATGTTGCAAAATGATTTGCTATTTTTAATTATTTCTGCAAGCTTATTTATGGAGAATAAAAACAAGGGCAAAACTTGTTCTGACAGTCACCCTTTAAAGGTTGCATGTTTATACCTTTGTACCACAATATACACATATCATCCTCTGCCAGAACAGGACAAAGGTTGCAAAAATCTTTACTGGGAACAGTGTCAGCTGTTAAAAGCAGTCAATAAAAGGAACTTCATGAGATTTTCTGCCAGGTGCAATTACAAAATATTGCATACAATTACATTCCAACAGAACTGGAATTCATGCAATATAGCATAGGAATTTATGGAACTTTTACACTTGTATACTTCCAGTGTCACCACAGTGCAAAGTGTATCTAAACAGTTGCTATGCTCTTGTTATGCTAGTTTCTCCAAAATGAAAGATCAAATTTAAACAAACTTCTGTTGACAATGTGACTCGTGCTTCTTGAAGTATAGTAATTCCTTTCCTATGGGACATACAGCCAGTATCAGATGAGATGTTAATACTCTGCTGCTTCAAACAGAACACCTCATGGCCTAATTGGCTGCTGTAAGCATGTGTTCTAATCTTACCTTTATCTCTACTATCATTTAGCACTTTCTATTCCAGAGACAAGTGCGTGAGCTCAACTGATAGTGTATCAGGAGTTACCTGAGAAAATAAGAACATAAGACCAGCCCTATCAGATCAGTTCAAAGGCCCTTCTAGTCCAGCATTCTGGTCTCACTGTCCAGCCAGATGCCTATAGGTCCTGCCCACAAGCACCCTCATGTTCCCCAATGACTGACATTCAGAGTCATGGTGCCTCTGCTCTGGCAAGTAGTACATAGAGCCAACATGATCAGTAGTCACTGATAGCACTGTCCTCCATGAATTTGTCCAATGGCCTTTAAAGCCAGCTGCAGCCATCCCTACACCTTGCAAATTCCATCATGAGCTGTGTATAATAGTACAGTGGTACCTCGGGTTAAGTACTTAATTCGTTCCGGAGGTCCGTACTTAACCTGAAATTGTTCTTAACCTGAAGCACCACTTTAGGTAATGGGGCCTCCTGCTGCTGCCGCGCTGCCGGAGCAGGATTTCTGTTCTCATCCTAAAGCAAAGTTCTTAACCTGAAGCACTATTTCTGGGTTAGTGGAGTCTGTAACCTGAAGCGTATGTAATCCGAGGCGTATGTAATCCGAGGTACCACTGTACTTCCTTTTTGTCTGTCCTGAATACCCCACATACAGCTTTTTTGAAGGTCCCTCCAACTGAATTCCATTCTGCATATTTGGTAACTTATGTCGGAAGGGTTTGATCACTGGTAAGGGCCGATATTTGAACTCAAAACCTCCCGTGCCTCATCAGTATCCATGTTCTGTTGGCTGTTGTTGTTTTTAATTAATTGCTGGACCAATTATCTTGCAAATGGCCCTGTAATTGTTGTTCATAATGTATCTATCAGTCTCGTGCTGGAATCTCTCTCTCTGCTACATTCTTGTGTAACCAAGAAATGAACCTGGGAAAGGCTTATGCAAATACAGGACCATTGTTCCATTCATTTCGATGGCAAAAAGTACATGTGTAGCAATGCGGAACATGGAACGATTTTCATTCCTCCCCAGGCCTCGGAGTAACTAGGAGCTGGTTTGGCCATCACGCCACTCTCTCCAAATGCACACCCTAAGCCCATCACATGACTGCCATTCACTCCTCAGCAGCGGGGGAAGCGGGCGAGGGGGAAATCCTGCACTTGAGCACGCTACTTATTTATTTCGCAGCTTTTTTTGAACAACTTAATCATGAAAAAACTGTAGCGGTGGCAACATGATTGGCAGTCGCCATGCTTCCCGCCCCCGTGAAGAGGCATTTGTGCTTGAACGGGCTGCACGACAGGCAGATATTGAAAAGACTGCCAATGAAAATATTGCAACGATGGGTAAATCAGCACCTGCTGAATTTCTGCCTACCATGCAGCGAATGAATGAATGAATGGCGCAGGTGGCAGTGGGGAATTATTTCCTTGAAGGAGACCAACGCATGGGAGATGGAGGGCATATTATATCTGTGGCGAGCAGCGAGTGCCTAAGAGAGGACTGCCCTTTGCCAGAGCGGAGCAGCCCCCGGGGAGCCTGTCTGGCTCATTGTCTTCTCCCTTTTTCCCGCCACAGGTCCCGAGCAAGCCTCGCGCCCCCCTCCGCCGCCCCCTCCTCCTTCCCCCCTCTCTTTGGCGCCTTTTCCTTCCCGCCACGTCGAGTCTCTTTCCATTCTGACGGAGAGCCGAGGCGCGGGCTGGCGGCTGCGGCGCCGATTGGCCGGCTCGGCGCCGGTGGGCGGAGCTTCGCCGCTGTTGGAGACCTGCCCGCCGGCTCTCCCCGGCTCCGCCCCAGCGCTGCTCCCTCCCACTTTACTACAGGCGGCTGAGGCCGGGGCCGTCGCGCCACACGGGAGGGAGCAGGCTGGCCCGGCACGACCCCGCCCGCAGCTCCCGCCCGTGCCTCGGAGACGCCAACCCAGCAGCAGCAGCAGCTGCCTCAGAGACGCCGCCGCCGCCGCCGGTCCCGGCCTGCTTGGAACACGCGGACGGGGCGGGAATGTTGCTCTCCAAGATCAACTCCCTGGCCCACCTGTGCTCCGCGCCCGGAGGGGACCTGCACCCGGTCAAGCCCCTGCCAGGTCAGCCACACCGGAGGGGCAGAGGATGGATGGGGGGGGGGTTCGGGCGGCCTGCAGGCGCCCCTCACGGTCGGTCGGGGTCGTGAGGCGAAGGCGGGGCTGGGGTGGCGGCCAGGGGTTTGTTTTGTTTGGGGAGCGGCTGATGCGGAGAGATCGGGCGGGAGGGAGAGCAGCGTTGCTGAGGAGGCGCAATGGCCTGACCTCCCCCCCTCTCCCCATCCCTCGTTTTCTCTCCCTTCGCAGGAAAAGAAAAGGAACCCCTGGAGAAGTTGTACCAGGTGGGCCCGCTGCTCGGCAGTGGCGGCTTCGGCTCGGTCTACTCGGGGACCCGGCTGGCGGATGGAGCTCCGGTGAGTGCTTGGCCGCGGGTGGATTGTGCTCCCATTTGCTCCCCGTCGCTCTCCCTCTACGGTTTCCCCTCACCCCAATTTTCTCCCAAAAAAATACCCCTTCCATTCATTCCAGTCCCCCCTCCCTCCCCGCCACCCATGGCATTTCTTTCTACCGGTCCTGTTCGCTCACTCCATTTCCCCCCTCTTTAATCTTCGTAGGTGGCGATCAAGCATGTGTCCCGCGACCGGGTTTCGGAATGGGGGGAATTGGTAAGTGTTTGATCGGAGGAATGCCCCCGTGTTGCTCGAGAGAATCTCTTTCAGCTTTCAGTGATCTGCCACAATGCAGGTCGATTGATTCTCCTATTCATGAATCCTGTTTTCTCTCTCTCTTCCCCCCCCCAAAAAAAATCACATTGCAGCCTGGTGGAACGAGGGTACCGATGGAGATCTTGCTCTTGAAGAAGGTTGGCTCTGGCTTTCGGGGCGTAATCCGGCTCCTGGATTGGTTTGAGAGGCCAGACAGTTTTATTTTGGTTTTGGAACGGCCTGATCCCGTGCAGGATCTCTTTGATTTCATCACGGAGCGGGGTGCTCTGCCCGAAGACTTGGCTCGCAGCTTTTTCCATCAGGTTTTGGAGGCGGTTCGACATTGTCACAGCTGTGGGGTTCTGCACCGGGATATCAAGGACGAGAATATCCTGATTGACCTGAGCAGTGGAGAGCTCAAACTTATAGACTTTGGATCTGGAGCGCTGCTCAAGGACACAGTGTACACTGACTTTGATGGTGAGTCTTGTCAATTTCCATTCACTGCTTTGAGCCAGGGAATTTCCTCTTTGAAACACTGTGTTCCCGGGGTTTGAGTGCTTTGCAGCAATGGAACATGTTCTTCCTCTGAGCTGTAGGACTTGTTCTTCTTATGAAATACATTTTATCCTGATTGCCTATTGCCTACACAGTTTCTGTTGATAGGCGATTTAACTCCAATCAACTGCTAGACTTTGCTAATGGTTTTTTATGAGCCTGAACCTACTGTCTTATTTGTGGTGTGAAAGTAGAAAGTGAAGGAACCAGGCAGTAAATATGTTGTAAATCTGAGTGGCTACTAATTCACTTGTGAGGGAGTGCAGAAGTGCAAGGCTGAATGTAAACATGTTTGCAGGCATACTGTTCAAAACCTTGAATGCTAATCAAAATCTGTAACTAAAGGGAAAATCTTAAAGTACGTGGATTTCTATCTTTCTAAAACTGATAGATGACTGAAAGGGTTTTGTAGTTTGTCCCTACGAAGAGCAGAGTACAAAAAAGCGGAGGAGGTAGTTACTAAGATCTGCTGCCTCTGCCACCTCACTAAATTAATCATTTTAAATGGAAAGTTGCTTTTCGTCATGGCATGAATGTTGTGAAATCTAATCTGGAAGAGATCTGTTTACATTCATCTCACTTTACCTTCCCTGCTAAGAAGCACAAATCAATAATTTGTTTAACAAAATGTGCATGTGGGGGAAAGGAGATGCAAGTATTGAAGATTTGAATAGAAATGGGAGCTGCTCACAGACATTAATTGTTTCCAGAAAACAAACCAAGCTTCTAGCCGTTGCGACTCTTTTCATGAGCTGTTGACTTTCAAAAAATCACGGCTGGCTTTCAGTTTGGTTTGTTTGTGTTTTTTTTTGCCTCTGGGTTCCTGAGTAGCATGAGCTGCCTTGCATTTTTTGTTTTGTTTTTAATTTAACGGTTAATGACCAGGGGTGGGTTTGCTCCTCCCTCCGTTGCCCTCTTTCTTGCACAAATACTCAAGCTTCTGGTGCCCCCTGGTGGCTCATGCGGATTTTTTTTACAACCCAAAGTTTGTAAACAAGAGTCACGTGGCTGGAAACCAGACTAGCAGCTCTGACCTCAGTATCCTTGCTTCCTGCCAGCAAGGAGGTGGGTGGGGGAGAGAGATCAGATACTACAACAAAGGGTGCCAAGAGCTACTGCAGTGGTGCAAGTAAGCTGCATCTCAGCATCACCACATGCAGAACTAAAAGATAAAGCCACCCCATCATACTGTACATTCAATCTTTGTCAACATCTTAAGCAGCTTGTCTTCAGAAGTCCATACCTGGTTTTTACTAACTGCATTGTCATAGTTGAAAACTAGTTCACTTGATGTTCCTGGTCCTTTGATCAGTGTGTCCAAGCGCTGAAAAAAATCACCACTGAGGTGATTTGTAGGAATTTTAAACCTCATTATGAGACCTTCCTCTTCTTTCTCTTCTAGGGACTCGTGTATATAGTCCTCCAGAATGGATTCGCTACCACAGGTACCATGGTAGATCTGCTGCCGTCTGGTCGCTTGGAGTACTGCTCTATGACATGGTCTGTGGTGATATCCCCTTTGAACATGATGAGGAGATCGTAAGAGGTCAAGTTTATTTTCGGCAAAGGATTTCTCCTGGTAAGTGTCTGCTGCTCTTATGAGATAGGGGATAACTTAGCGGACAGGGCTCATCCACTCTCTGCTTTGAGGGACAGTACTTGGAAGTATTTCTGATGATCCCCAACATCTTTTATATTAGATGATACTGCTATATGCTAAAGCATGCAAGTAGCACTTCAGCTGCTGAGGGGGGGGGGACCTAGAATTTGAAATTAAGTGGTGTGTTACCATCTAAATTGCAGAAGCAAGTGTTCCCAAAACACTGTTATTGGGCTTCCAGTCAGATTTTGAATCATTCCCTTGATGTCAAACTTGAAGCCAACACACCCTGGTATGAATAGCAAAGCAAACATTAGTTAACCATTGTTTCAGCCATGTAAAACAGTCTTGTTTTATAAGCAGGTTGAGATTTTGTTGCATCATCAGTGTCCTGTTTTGTAGATTCTCCTCAGCAATGCACCTATTTCAACTTTGTCCTTTCTTTTTGCAGAGTGCCAGCATCTTATTAAGTGGTGTTTAGCTCTGAGGCCTTCTGACCGACCATCCTTTGAAGACATTCTGAACCATTCTTGGATGCAAGAAGTTCTCCTGTCTCAGGAAACAGCTGAGATCCACCTGCACAGTCTACTGCACGAGTCTAGAAAATAGCAGTGTGTCTCATCCTTTTGGGGTGCAAAACAGAATTCTGCCCTACTGATTCTGGCTGAGTGGGGATTTTTACAGGAATACCATCATCTCATTGCAGACACAGGCTGCCTGGAGACATTTCCAAGCCTGAAAAAAACCATCTCTCCTGGTCGAGTGGATTTAAACTCTTTGGGTCCCGCTTTGCAAACCTCCTTGCCACTAGATGACTTGAGCAACTCCATGCGTGTTCATAACCTGCTGAATCCTAGAATATGAAACAAGTGGAGCAGACAACTAGAGCAGACTCTCAATTGGGGGAATCTGGGATGGGGAAACACCGATTTGGACTGGCCCCTGTCTTCACTGTGTCACCATGTTCTGAGTGCCTTCAGTTGCAACTGAGCTGTGCTGGGGGAAAGAAAATACTTGAGCGTTCCTTCCTTGCTGCTGCCTCAAGATTTACCTGGGTTTTGGTTTGTTCCACCTTATAAAAGAACTGCTTGAAAAGAGGCTGTGGGTGATCCACTAGCAAACCCTAGCTCTGTGTTGTCCAATATGAACTCTGAGTTGGCTCTTGCCGCCTCTCACGTGAAGGCATCCTCAAGTGCACAAACAATGCAACCCAATTAACTGTAAATTTGTACAGATCAATACAGGAACAAAGCTTGGTGTACAGAAGATTGCAGTTTATAATGTTTTTACTCCTGTTTTTTTAATTTATTTCTAGGGTTTTTTAATGGAATATCCTAACTTTAGGATCTTATTTATTTTATTTATGAATCATGTGGGTTCTTAGCCTACACTTCACCGCTACAGCTGCTGACCTGATATCCTGTCACATTGCCCCTCTCCTCCCCTTTCCCAACTTCCTTCCTCCATTGGGTTATTTTCTGCCTATTCTGGTCTGTTTGATGTCTTGCCACTGTATGGAGTAGCTGACCTGCCACTCAGCCATCTGTAAATAGTTCCAGCTGTGGCTGTTCAGCCTCCCCGAATGTTTGAGACATGTTTTCACAGGTATTGGTGGGGGGAGGGCATATGTACATAGTACTCTTCTTACTTAAAGTGGAGCGAGATACGCTGGACTTCAACATTGTCAAGCTTCTATAAGTAATTTGGTGTGTAGTCTGCTGGTTTTGTTAATAGCTAATACTGTACAGGGAATTCAGAATTGCTATTTTTTTTATACATGCAGTTTTAAATAAAAATGAAAACTTGATTTTAATCAGATGTCTGGCTCTTCAATGGGCAGTACTAGACTTTGGATGCGCAGTTTGTTTCATATTCACACTGTTACTGCAAAATGTTTAACTCAAATTTTTTGTAGCCCTATTTCCGGCTAGAAAATGTCAGCAGAAAAAAGCCACAGAAGGTTGCATTAACCTGCAAATGCTGGGTTAATGGTACCAATAAACTACTTTGGGTATGGATGTTTCAGTTATATTGCAACATAAATTCTCCAACCTAGAATGTGGATTCTAGTTTTGGGAGAAGGTAGGGCCTAGTTAATGAGTCAGAAGAGAAAGTTGGGGAATGCCTTGCCTTTTTAACCCTATATTTTCCTCACTTGCCCATATCTGACGATTTCTGCTCTGCCACTACAATGGCCAAACCCATTGGACTGCCCCATTTTTGTTATTGCATGCATGTGTGACTGGAGTTTTTCACATGGGTTATGTGTTTGTTACACCAGCAATTGGTGTACTATTTAAGTTGCAACCTTAACTCCATTTCGGCTTAGTGAAGTCCCCTGATTTCCAGGGGCCATACTCCAAGGCAAATATGCACAGGCTTATATCCTGAAGGGTGTTTCTGTACCACAGTTACCATTTGTTTTGTGAAGAGGCAAAGCTCATTTAAAAAAAGAGCACACAATCTTTTGCTCTCCAAAATATTGATAGTTTTAGCTGCAATTCTTTTTAATACATTGCCTGCAGGAGGTGCAGATACAGGTTCAAATACAGATACTGAGCTTCCAGTGATTCCTAATTCTCTTGTGAACACCAAATTGGTTTTCACCAAATCTTACAGCAGGGTAAATGGCCTTTATATACCATTTTTCTTCGGAGGCAAACTTTGCAAAATGCAAAGTTTTTTGTGGGCTTTTAAAAAATTCAATTAAATACTTACTGAGCAGTTGCCTTCTGAATAAGAGGGGGTTTTAACCCTCTCCTGGTGCCATTTTTCCAAAAGGATGAGCTTGCAGTTTCAGTGGGACAATTTTGGGAAAATGGCACAGGGGAAAAGGGCTACTTACACATAATACCATGGCTCTGAAATAAGTTGCAATCCACTGCAATTATGCAGTATTCCACTTCTTAAAATGTCAGAGGATCTGATCATGGAAATCTCACATACCATGTAGGGTGGCCCTTAAATTAGTTCAGCTATCAACACCAGCCTGCTTGTCTTCAAACATTTGCCTCCTAAATGCAATTCGTGGAAGCAGGTCCTATGAATTTCAATTAAATTTGCGCTTATGTGTGTTAGTGAGACTGCCATAGGCCCACCCTTATTCCCGTAAGTGTTGGTTGACTGTTACTTATTCTGAGAAAAACTTCCCACAACGGAGACAAAGTGACCAGAAAGTCAAGCTGCACAGAGGCTGATCCAATGATAGAAACAAGCCACAGTAGGAAGTTACTATCTTCCCCCACCCTTTGCTATGTCAGTAACGGAAATGACATGAGTCTCCTCACTCAGCAAGGATCCCATGGAAAATGAAATATGAAAATTACAGCACATTGGGCCCTGCACTGCATATGTAAGTAAGTACATACTCATTATTTTCAAAAGCTGAGGCCCATAGAAGAGCATGGAAGAAAGCAGGAGGTTTGAAGTGGATTTAACTTTGTGGGTGGTGAACTATGAAACCTTATTTGACAAGTCAATATACACTTGTGGGAGCAGCACAAAACATGACATTTGGCTCAAAACTTTGCCACAGGTTTTAGGGGGAGAACCAGATTTGGGAGTTTGTAGTTAATTGAGCTCGTTCAACAAGTGGTTGTGGCAGACTTTTCTTGCCAGTTCACTGAAACTCAGGGTCAAATGTCACATTATAGGAAATGACCACCACACACGTAATTCTCCATCTTTCCTAAGGTCTGGGATCTTTGGTGCTGTGACCTGACAGCATTCAGCACATCCTGTCTCCCAGCCACAGACAGCAATGTGGTTGCAGAGTGTGTGAGTGTATTTAGATGTCAGGGAAACACAGGACCATGACACAACCTGAATGTTAAAGTCGGGGAAAGTAGACATGCAGCATCTGCTATCAGCCACCATCATGCAGTTAAGGTGCCGCCATCTTTGGCTCAGTGAAGATAACAATCCAACACACCACCAGCCACCTCCCATGCACCCAACCCTCTCTCTGGGTTGCAGAATGCTCATTGTTTTTTAGTGAATTAACCCCGGGGCAGTTGGCCTAAAGCACGAAAGGTTTCCACAACACAAACACTTGACTGACTTACTCATCTTGTCTAGATCATGTGGGCATTCACAGAAACTTCCCAAAATTGTAGTCTTTGCGCTCCAGACTGCAGTGCCTCTATTGCTGTTTACTACCTTCAAATATCTTAAGGGCTGTCACATGGAAGAGGGAACATGCTTGTTTTCTCCTGCTCTGGAGGGTAGGACTCGAACCAATGGCTTTAAGTTACAAGAAAGGAGATTCCGACTAAACATTTGGAAAAACTTTCTGACAGTAGGAGCTGTTCGGCAGTGGAACAGACTCCCACAAGAGGCGATGGACTCTCCTTCCTTGTTGGTTTTAAAGCAGAGGTTGGATGGTCATCTACCATGGATGCTTTAGCTGAGATTCCTGCATTGCAGGGGGTTGGACTAGATGACCCTTGGGTCCCTTCCAACTCTAAGCTTCAATGTTTCTATTCTGCCTTCTGTGTTGGAGAGAAAAGCTTTGAATAATCATTTGAAGGAGTCTTTAACAGGCAGTTGTAAGCAGGTCTAAGGAGGGGAATTGTCCTCTCATGCTTTCTCAATGTATGGCAATCAAGGACCAATGACCGTTGTGTTTGCGTAGGATGACACAATGAACTTGGTTTCTAATTACTTATATTTAGTTCACATCCATATTCAATTCAGATTCAGTTTATTTTTGTATCTCTGAATTGAATGAACAAGTTTGAACTAACCAGCACCCTTTAACATGGCATATAGAACCTTAGCAGTGCTTGCATTTTCACCCTGGGCATCATTGCATGTGTGTATTAGTTCTAACAACACATTTTGATGTGGCAGAAGCAACACTTCCTAAACTGCCCCACTGTCAAATCTAAAAATATGGCTGCTTGCTAGTGTGTGACTTTTAATCATTTTTTTGGGGGGGGGGAATTATGTCCATCCAAAGGCTGGGGCATCTCATCACTGGTCCAGATAGGTGATTCAACTTGTAGCAGTGGGGTGGCTAAGGCAGATGTTGATGGGATGGGATGCTAAAGCCCCTCTCCAACTCTTGAGTGTTCCTGCCACTCTTATAAGACTCATGGAGAAATAGCCCCTCTCAGCAAGCATACTGCCAAACACCACCAGATGCAATTGCTATCGCTATGAGATGAATGCAGTTTGTGTTGACAAGCATGTACAGGAAATAGAAGCACCAACATTAGCACCATGCAAGGTGTTTGCTTACTGTTACATAGCAACTGGTGTTTGGAGTCCTGACATTCCCAAGGTGTTTTGTGAGACATACTCCCATATGTATCATTTTGCTAAGGGCGGGTACCTCATGAAAGGATGTTTGATCTCACAGAGTAAGGGAGGGCCTATGTTCAAAGAAATGCAGTATCTCCTGCTTTGCTTGGGATATTTTTTCAGCAGGGAAGGAAGAAACGCATGAGCCCAGCACTGACTCATACTCCTCCCCAGATCTGTGTCGTTTGAACACTGTTATGTATCATTTGAACAGGCAAAGAGTTATCTGCAATTCTATAAAAGAACTAACTTATTTTCTCAATGAATTGGGAATGGAGAGTGTTAACCTTTCCCATCTTTGCTTAGTAATCAATCTAGGATGACCAGTGCTGGCTTTATAGAACGGTGGCAGCTGTATATCCATTAAATGAGCAAAATTTAAAGAGGACAGGTTCTTAAAATGCCTTTCAAACAAGCAAAATAAGTGTTGGATGAGTACTGGGGTCCCACAAGGACATGAAACAATATATGAAAATTAATTGCAGCTAATGTTTCCGAAACTACGTTTCTCATCAGTCAGCACGGCAATGAACCTACTATTCTCAAAGCAGCTTCCCAAATAGGCAGTGTGTCAAATTATATGTGAGAGTTTCATGATTGGACCACCTAATTCTTTTTTATTTTATTTTATGTAAATGCAGCTGTGGGTTGCTTGTCAGCTTGAAATAAGCAACAGCACTGTGGGAGGTGATGTCTAACCCTGTGTCATTTTCCTGATCAAAATTACCTCCTCTGTTGCTATTTCCACTTTCCATAGCTGCTTTTAAAACAAAACAAAACAAAACAAAACAAAACAAAACAAAACAAAACAAAACAAAACAAAACAAAAACTAGACCCATCTTAACTTTTTACATGGAAACAGCACCATCTGCTGGCTTGTTATGGAAGCATAATGTAACCAACTTTGGTGCTGTGTGGTGTTTCGCATTATATAGGAAACTTCATAGACAACCTTTATAGAGTTACCTTGTGAAGAGAGTGCTAGAGACTTGTGTTTTTATATATCTGTTTGTTACAAATCTGTAGGCTGAGCTGGAGTGGGTGGGTGGGAGCAGGCTAGTACCCAGACACAGTTTTAAAATCATCACCCCACAATGCAAACAGCATGCATGCATTTGAATTCCTTCATGTTTCTTCTTGCCAGCCAGCTGCAGTGTTTCAAACTGCAAGATCAGTTTCAGTTGTTGCAGCCTGTTCACACAGACAGAACACTCCAGTGAGGCCAGCTACCTGTTCTCTCCAACTCTATCCATCATGGCTGAAAATTTTTGTAGGGGCAGGGATTGATTGGATGAATCCAGGTATTGGTTAATGCTTCATTATAAGAGGGAGTTATGCCCACCACCCAAGGAAAGGTGGTGGTAAGGCTTGTACTTGAAGAGACAAGGGTTTTAAGAAAACTACTATTCAGTCTCTAATATTCCCTTCTTGAGCAAGGTCGCTGACAGGGTGGCCACTGGCAGGTGCAGTTATGCTTGGACGAAGCAATTATCTAGATTCATTTCAAACTGGCTTCAGCCTCCTTTTACCACTAAAATACCCGGTTCCCCCAACTAATGACAGAATATCAGGAGACAATTGGGACCATAGCCTTGTTGGTTCTCCCCAGTCTCTCAAGACTTTTGACACCATTGACCATGGTCTCCTTCTGAACCCAGGGGGAGGAAGTTGCAGGCATTGTATTACAGTGGTTTAACCCCTACCTGCAGAGTCATGACCAGAAAGTAGTACTAGGGGGTCCTACAAGGGTCCATTTTATGTCCTATGCTATCAGACACTTATCTGAAACATCACCATCATCATTTTATTTGTATGCCGCCTTTCCATAGTTGAAACTATGCTCAAGGCGACTTACAACATGACAAGATTTACACAATTAGAAACATAACAGAAGTCATAAACAATAAATAAAATACATCAAAAAGTACACAACCAAATGAAACAATTTCCACGTAAATCATAAGATCTAAAACTAAAGATACAACAATAGTATCCATAACAGCAACAGCTCTCTCAACCCCCCCTAAACAATACTCCAGCCTGTTCAACAGCTTCAGCTTTTGTAGCTGGAGTCAGTCAGCGCTCCGCTCTCCCAGGACAGATGAGAAAGGGCCAGCAAGGCAGAGTGCAGGTGTTCCAGTGGAGAGCTGTGTTGTCTAGGCATTTGTAGTACGGTGCCATCAGTGTGCAAATGACACACAGTTGTACCTCTCTGTCTTGTTTTGATGTAAAGGAACCTTCCACAACCTGATCATTGGCTGTGCTTGATGGGGCTAAGGCGAGTTGTAGTGCCTCTGGCCTTTGTATAGTAGGTAACATTCAAGTCATGCGCAATTCAGAGGTTTCTATACCCACTTCTCTCCATTCGGGTAAGTAAGAAGCATTACTGCAGTTCGAGGACACATTCCAGCCAGGTGAAGAACACACAAGGAGTGAATGGAGTAGGGCCAGTGAGGAGTGGGGCCTGGGAAGGGATATGGTCTGGTGACAATCCTGGAGAACTGCATTTGGCCCCTCAGGCCTGAGATTTCCTAGCCATACACTAGAGAGTAGTAACTAATAGAGAAACATGTCCCTTGTGGTTATATTTTTGTTTTTTGAATTACGCTCTAATTTCCACAACTATTAAGATGAATTATTTGGGTATGAAACCAAGTTGAACTGTCACCTTCCTATTTTTCAGTGCCAATTACAATATTGTTTTTTTAAACACTGTTGCTAAAATGTTGCCAAATAAAACGGCAGTTGTGAAGGTGTGAAGAGGCAAGTGGACCTGACTGCCCAAAAACATCATTTCATAACAAAACCATGTCTATGAAAAAGATGGGAAAAATCTATACCTCCAGAGATTGCACCACTGTTCCACGCCTTCCCCAGCCACACACACACACACACACACACACACACACACAAATCCGCTTTGGTTAAGGAAAGAAGCTCAAGAAAAACAACTACTTGACTTACACCAACCTTTGCCAAAGTGTGTTTGCTGAAAAACGTGAGTGTGGGATTGTGAGGTAGGCATTGTCAGGGAAGGAGTGTGTGTGTGTGTGTGTGTGTGTGTGTGTGTGTGTGTGTGAGTGAGAGAGAGAGAGAGAGAGAGAGAATGCTTTATCCTTCCGCTTCCTGCCACTTTCTCCCTGAACTCTCCCTAGGCTGACTTTTCTGCCTCACCAGGTTTCTTTTCAATCTTGGGACCAGCTGAAATCAAGCCAGCTACTGGGGAAGAGTTGTGAGTGGTTAAGCACTATCAACTGCTTTCCCCCTGCAAAGTCCCCACCTATGCATTTGTATTATTTAGTAACCTTGAGGCAGTGTGTCATTCTGGCCAAAGAAAGGGAACAAACACTACTTAAAAAATAATAATCTAGCAATAAATAATCTTCACTGTGACATTTCACATCCAAGCACATATGTTGTTAGAGACATCAGCTTTTTCCACGGAATTTCATGATCCCAGTTTTCCACAGGCATATCATTGTGATTATAGGGGTTAGAAAGGAAACTATTGCCTTGCCCAAATAATCTGATGATACAGTTCACATATCTTCGTAACTCAATCAGGCAAAACAAGATTGTGGCGGGGGGGAATAATCCAAAATATAATGGAGAGGAAATATATGTTTATTAAGGACATCAGGTCAATCCAATAAGGTAATAAGAATTTAAAAAAACAAAACAAAACAAAAGTCAAACCACATGCAGCACCACTTAGAATGCATGAATTTATACACCAGATTTGCAACTCTGGCAAGACAAACCCATGTTTTGCGGCCCTGCTGAGTGTTTGACAATCCCTCTGTTCTTGCAGTTCCAGGCAGGCAACAATAACCAGAGGCTTTTAAAGCTCCCAGTGGCCAGCAATACAAGGTTGATGAACTGTACTCATCTTGCTATGTCCCAAGCATTGCAAGCCTGCTAGTTTGCACAAATTACCTGACAACTCTTATTGAACTCTCCTAGCATTGATACCCAGCCTAAACTTGGGAGGCTCTGACACACGTCTTGATATCCGCCTTGTCTTCAGTGACATCCTCCCTGTGCTTCTGCCTTCAATAATCATCAGAAGATATGTTATGATAAAGAGAAGCCAAAAGCAGTCTGTGGGGATTCTGGTGGCCAATCCAAACCATTCCAAGTCACTTATTGAATAAAGAGCTGCCCTTGCTGTTAGAACTATGAGGACAATGTTGGCTAGATCATAGAAGATGATCCAAACAATGTAGATAAACAATCCTACAGTGTCTCGCCTCTGGATGGATAAGAGGAAGTAGAAACATATAGGATAAGTTATAACAGCCAAGGCGATTGCAGTGTAATAGTAATATGGGATGACCCACATCGGTCCAATTGAATAATTTTCTTCCTGATGCAGTTGTATCAGAGTTAGGGAGCGATTTAGGTGACCAGCCTCAAAGATCAGGTACATATTGGTTGTCAGAATCATGTAGACACCAGCTAGAAGAGATCCTGCTTTTGGAGCTACACCACAGATACCACCTGCAAACAGGATGATCATCTTCTCACTTCCAAAAATCCCCTGAAAGGCAATTAAACTGAATTAGTAGTGCAGGATATGGAAAATGTTTCCAGAACTCTCTGAGAAAGCTTAAAGATATGTTCAAACTAGAGATGAATACAAAACATCAGAGTAGGAGAGAATGCAAATATATTGATGCACACCTAGGTTGTGGGTGGGATTCAATTGTTTACCAGAAATACACGTTACACAATTTAAGTACATTATGCACTCTTTGTCAACAAATCCACTTACACACTCACCCCTTTTGATGTAAGGAAAGTGATGGGAATTTGTGGGATAATAGCAGTTGCTTAACACAATATTGTATAACCTTCCAGCAAAGAAATCAGAATGAATGTGCAAGGAACAGTGGATGTTTTATAACTGCCGCACAAAAATTGTGCAAACAAATCAGGATGAAGGCTCAGTAAGCAGGTCACATGAAGGTGACCTTGGATGCACAAGCAACAGCAACATATGAAATTGCATGTTTGCAGCATGACTTCAAGAATCCAAAAGAGTGCATAGATATCTGCAGAGGCAGAACCATCCCACCAAGTGTTGTGTAGCAACTCTAAAAATATCCAGGTATCGCTATGATAGCCTGCAACTCAGAAATAAGTTTGGCCTGGAGAGGTCTTCCTTACAGAAAGTCAGGCTCACATATTCCAAACCAGCCCAGTTGTAACAGCGCCTCTAAAATGTATTGTTTCCTTTCAGTGTAAATCTCTGCCATTCTTTCCTTATCATTTGTAAATCAGAAGTAGGTAAAAGGCCAAATCAAACTAAGGTCTTGGCACCCAGCTATCAAACCTCCCACTCTCTCCTCAAATTAGGAAGCAATAAATTTCAATAGTCTGAGGCTTTTGCTTGAAAAGTCCAAAAGATATGTCAAACTCCATCTCACCAGAGCAGAGGAATAAGATGCATTTCTTGAAATCATTTTGCAAACTTTTTAAAAACAAGCTCTTCCTGGCTGACATAATTTCTTTTTTTTAACACCCATCCACAGTGTTAGAAATTGAGATATGAAAGCTAGGAGCTAAATGGTACCTTAAACCTAGATTATGGGCACAACAATGGAATGTCTAGGTGCACTTTTTTATAACAAGAATACAAAGCTGAAAACGAATGAACAGCAGCTAAAATATTATGCTCATTTTTCATGTGGTCTAGTCCTTCCCCTGCCCACCCCCCCCTAATACTCTTAAGAGCGTCTCTTCTCCAGTCTTCAGAGAATAGCTGGAAGTGGGGAGGCAGAAAAAGGTCGTCCTTTCCTTCTACTCTGCAGTTTTAATCTGAAATCTCAGACGCAGTACTGCACCCAGAACTCAGAAACTGATCACAATAATGAAATTCCCTGTTGCAAAATGGTAAAATGGCCTAGAACAATGGGAGTTTCAAACACTGCCCATTCACTATCAGGAAGAGAGAATTTGTTTCTATGCTAATTTTTGAGACTAACTCAGGCATAACAGGTAATGCTTTTCACTTTACTAGCTAGGAATCCTTTGGGTACTAAAGGGATCTCACCTCATTGTCAAGGAATTTTCTGATGGATTCCCCCCACGCACCCACTTTTTCTTCCCCCTATCCCCTTTGTTGCTGAAGAGGTACTCTTGCCTTCAACACACTGAACTTCAGGCTCACAAAATAATGAAAGGCATTAAACTTTAGAAAGAAAGCCCATCAGCTGTCCAACACCTCCCTCCCCTTCTACCTTACACTTTGAAAAGCAATCAGACTCCTCTTTCTTGGGGATACCAGTCTCTCCTTTTTCCCTTTCTCATGCTAATTTCTTCCTCCCTAATTTTATCACCCCAAAAGCTCAGATCTCCCTATGCTCAGTAATCTCAGCCACTGTCCCAAAGTCTTCCATTTTTCTTCTGATTTTCACCTAAAACTCCCCCAAAGCCCTTCCCAATCATTCCTCTGACTCCCCCTTTCTCTTCTGCAAATAAACAGCTCAAGCCAGCACCCACCCTCACATTCTAGTACAACTTTAACCTCTTCAGCCAACAACCCCCCACCCCCGACAACTCTCTTTCCCTGACCACATCATAGTTTTCCTATGTGTTCCTGGGAATGCTTCTAAGAATAACTCTTGCATGGTTTTAACTTTCCCAAGCCTCATTCTATTCTTGGTGTGCTGTTTATTGATTTTGTTTAATATGTTTAGTAAATGTGCTGATTCTTTTTGAGGCAATCAGCTAATTCCCTTTTGATATAATAAAATTGACTTTTTATTTATCTCTGTTGCCTGTATTAACTCCTGGGGTACCAAACTCTGGAGTATATCCAGGTCACAACCTCGAAAGATTCCTAGAAGTGTCAGGTTTAATTTTCCTGTTTCTTCTGTATGATTTTTAATTCTCGTCTCTATTTCTGTAAATCTAGGTTCTAATTGTTTTACTGAATTTGACAGACTTACTGTTTTATTGATAATCTCCTTGTCCCTTTCCTTCAATGAATTTGTTATAAAGTATTCTACAGCAATCCATTTTCCTCTATAGTTTTAAAAATAGTTTTGTGCTTTTTAAAATAATCAAATTCAAATTCTTTAGTAAAAAAGCGTTTTGTTCTAGTACTGAGCATGCCACCTTTTCTATCTATTTTTAAATCTGTTTTACCGATTTTGAAAGCCTGCATTTCCCCCAGTCTTAAAATGTGCTTCCATCTCATTTGTACATTTTCTGCTTTCTTTTCCAGCACAATTGATTATAAGATCCAGAAAAGTAACTAATGCAAGCTTGCTGATATCATTTAGTTATCAGCAAAGAATGTTGAACCCAATAAAAGTTAGAAAGGGAGAAGAAAAAAGGTAAAGGGGGCGGGAAAGAAATCACTAAGAAATTCATTAGTCAAACAGGAATTAATTAATGATTTAAGCAATATCATTACTATATTGTTCTTAACAGACTGAAACCTTACTGTTTCTAAGAAGAAGTTCTGGCAGAAAAATTAAAAGGGGATGAGCACAAGGAATACAGCTAAAGAAATGAAAAGGTGCCAGACACTGCGACAGGATTCTATTGACCTCTGGTGGTGATTGATGCTCTCTTTAGTTCAATTCATTGAACCTTATTTTCTAAATGGTTGGTTATGTGTTACTGCCTCAGTGCTATTATTATTATTATTATTATTAGTCCTTAAAAATAGTGTTGCAGTTGCACAGAACAGCTATCAATCACTCTCAGTGGTGCAGCTAGGACTGTGTCTCAAGGCTGAGGTTCAGTGCCCTGCAGTCCGGCCCAGTCCCACTGTGCCCAGTGGCAGATTGCTAGTGTGGTGACAGACAGGCCTTGTATAATCATCCTTTATTTTTCATTTTTAAAAGCACATTTTATGGCCACAGGATGGGCCAGTGGCCATGTACATGTTTTGAGGTTAATGGGAGATACAGTTCAAAACATTTGAATGGCTTGTGGTTGCAAAGCACAGAATAGCAGCATTGATGGGGAAGAAGATAAATGCTAAAAATGTGTTTCCTAATTGAAGTAATACACATGACTGAATTGTGGCAATGTGGTCACTACTTCCCTCTCTGACAAGCAGTAGAAGTGCACTGGATGAAGAGCACAAGGGAGCAGGCTTGGTATGTTCTGTACTTGCTCTGTACTTGCACTTGTATTGATGTTAACTGCTGCCAAAGGTAAATCATACTGCACATTTCTTCTCACCATTTTGAGTCTGTTCACTTGATCTCTTGTGACCCCAGTTGTTTATCTCTTCCAAGGATTACTGCTGCATCAGAAAACAATGCCACTTATAGCAAGCTTCCTGTGAAGAAACATTAAAGGAGTAACACACTTGGAATATCTGTATGCCGATACCTTATCTGTCCAAGTGGATAGATAGCTGCCTCCCCCGTCAAGTAAATAAATACAAATACTTAACTAAAAATAAAAATTGTAGAAAGATTTTGACAGATTTTTCAGAGCACTTGGGGGCAAAAGGAAGTAATTTAAAACAACTTGTCGTTGAGAGATTTCATTCCGAATCTGATAGACAGAGCCAGGCAGATGACAGGTGGATGTCCTGCCCCTCGCCAACATAAATCCAGACTGTGCCCACGACATTAAAGGAATGAACATGCCAAAGTTAAATAAGTTCTTGCATTCTCTCTCTCAAGCTGGCTATTGGGTAAGCCGGACTCATTTTGATCCAATGGGTGTTCTGTTCGCACCAATGCCCCACGGGTGCAGTTTAAAATCTATCCTTGTGAAGTACAGCACACCTACATTAAAAGGGAGGGCAATCTGAGGGCTTCTGAGGAGTTTCACGTAGGCGCTGAAGGTGACTTTGTTGAAGAAAGCACATAAAAGTAGCGCCTCTGCAAAAATTGTCCTCTTTTTAATGGAAGATTCGAACCATCAGTCTCCCAATAATTAATGAATTTTTTTAAAAGTCTGCCTAGATTTGAAAGCGTTGTTTATTATTTTCCTCCCTGAGAGAGGCGGCAGCCCCCAGCCTGCCTTGGTTTCCCTCACTGGCTTTCCGCTCCCGCTTCTCCGCGAGGACGGCCACTTTTGACAGTTAAACCGCCTCCCGCTTCGACCAAACTGCACGTGGCTCCCCCCGCCCCCTCGCCGCAGCCTTCCTCCTCCCCCGCCCCCTCCTCTGTGCATCACTAGGCGAATCGCCCCGCCTCTCGCGCGTTGCGCGCGGCTCCTGGTCCCGCCCCCCCTTCGGCGGCGCCCCCTCCCACCTCGCTTATGCTTCACGTTGCTTTAGGAATCTGACTCAGGATTGGCCAGCTAGGGGGACTCTGGCTCAGGCAACCAATGGCTGGGCCGCGCCCGCCCGACTCCAAGATGTCGGCGCTGAGGCCTGGCAACGGGGCTCCCGGAGGGAGGCGGTGAAGCGGCCTCGGCCGGAGGCTTTGGGCCCCACCGCACCGGCTCGTCCCCTCCCTCCCGGAGCCGGCGGGGTGCTCGGCCTCTGCCCCCCAGCCATGGCCGCGGAAAGCAGCAAGCAGTTCTGGAAGCGGAGCGCGAAGCTGCCGGGCAGGTGAGCGGCCGCATGAGGCTCGGTCTCCGGGGTGGGCGCCCACCAAGCAGCCGTGCCCCGGGAAGGCGGGAGCCGGTTGGCGGCGCCGGTTCCAGCGGGTGCTTCCCCGCCGCCATTCATCGCAGGGAGGTGCTTCGTGGGGGCTCGCGGCTCTCGTCCTGAAGCCGGTTAGCAGCCTCCCCGCATCTAGAGGGAGCAGGGCAATTGGGGAGAGGACCTCTGTGGGTCCCCCGATGCCCGTGAGGTGAAGCTCGGGATTGCGGTCGCGTCACGATTGCTCTCCGCTGCGGCGCCGGCTGGCCCGGTTAGTCAGCAGCAGCTGCAGTCAGAAGCCCATCGCCAGCCGGAGAGGCGAGGCTGGCGATCGCGGGGCAAATGGGCTTTGCTAAGCTCCCATGTTCCTAAAGCCGCCGTGGGGAACGACGAGACTCGCCGGTGCCTCCGTCCTCCCTTGTCCCGGGGCCGTTTGTATTTCGGAGCCAGCCAGGTTGCTCAGCGGACAGGTGCATTGGGTTGCTACTTTGCCCAGGAGCAGAAGTCACTTCCTCATTTGCATAGGTTAATCGGCGTGGGTCCGTATGGGCTTCCTTATCGTGCTGGCGCTTAAACGCTCTGATAGGAATGAACTTCTAAATCGGGTGGCGAAGAGAATCAACCAGGCTTTAAAAAGCAAACACCAACTAATTACGCCTATTGCAACTCGGCAACTGAGAATCTTTGCTTTGTTATACCAAGAAAACTCTCTGGAGAACTTCAGGACACACAAGGCTGGCTTTCTAAATATGAAAGCAGAAGTCCTAGACTTCATATTCCGGAGACGATTTCTCCTTAATGTGCCCACCCCCAAAGCTGGTGAACAGGGAGTTTGCAGTGCTTAAATTACAAAGGGGTGATGTGGAGCGTGGTGGGATGCTTCCCATATTTATTGCTTTTAGCATTGTTTGGGGATGTGTGTGATTTGGCTAAAATGGATGAAGTTAGAGGTAAGGTGTGTGGATTTTATAAAAGGCCCCCCCCCCATTTCTTCCATAGTTTAAACCATGGTGGTGTGTGCATCCTTTTGATAAGTCTATCAGTGATGGCTATAACATATCTCCAGTATCCGAGGGACCATGCGTCATATTCTACTTGTTTTGGAAGACAAATGCTAGAGTATCTTTGCCCTCTTGTCCTGTGAGAGCCAGTGTGGTGTAGTGGTTAAGAGTGATAGACTCGTAATCTGGGGAACCGGGTTCGTGTCTCCGCTCCTCCACATGCAGCTGCTGGGTGACCTTGGGCCAGTCACACTTCTTTGAAGTCTCTCAGCCCTACTCACCTCACAGAGTGTTTGTTGTGGGGGAGGAAGGGAAAGGAGAATGTTAGCCTCTTTGAGACTCCTTAGGGTAGTGATAAAGCGGGATATCAAATCCAAACTCCTCCTCTTCTTCCTTGGGCTTCCCATAGGCATCTGAATGGCCACCAGGAACAGAATGCAGGACTAGATAGGTCTGACCCTGAAAGGCTCATATGTTTCTCCTCAGCACCACTCCAATCACTTTATTATTTGGAAACATGGCTGCTGGGGAAACTGTTGTTGGCGGAGGGTTCTGGCTATTGTTGGACAGGGCCAAGCTGGGATGATCTGCTATCAGCCTTGAAGAGAGATTTCACATCCCACCCATGTGCAAACTCTTATACTTTTAACACTAATTATATTGGAATACATTCTTTCTCTATATACTTAGTGTTCAATTCTGATTAGGTTTCCTTCCTCACTCATTAAGAAGGCACTTGAAAGCTTGAGGAAACTCTGAACAATTGTTTGACCACTCTGAATGAGATTGAGCGATAACTCTCCTCTTTTGATGATTCAGGAGCATGTGCCCCTGAAGAAAGTGAGGTAAGACCTAAGAGGTGATCTTGGCCTCAGGTTTGGGATAAAGGCTGTATAATTCATGAGGCTGTTGCATTAGACTTCAAGCTTTCTAGAATACCAAGGTTCACAACCAGAGTTAAGTGCAAAAGTTATACACTTGGGATTAAATAACTCTGAGCTGAGGAATTTGTTTGGAATACCATCCTTCCGCACAAAAATCCACTTGTGGTTACCCCCCCACCCCACCCTTCAGCAGTGCAATGCAGAATCATTTTGCTTTTCCCACTGTTAAACAATTGGGAGTCATAAATCCTTGCTGATCTACTTCAGATCTCTCAGTAGATCCTAATTTTTCTTCTGCTCACCCCTGTGTTATATTGTTCACATGCTCTCTAACCTCATATTGACCGTGCTGTCACAAGCCAGTTCACCACCGCGAGGCCTCTGGAATGCTTAGCTGGCTTTAAATCCTGCCAGGCTAGTTAATTCTCTGTTTCTCCCTCTAATGTCATCCATCTCTCCGCCTGTCAAACTCTACCAACTTTCTGGGGTAGTTTGGATGTGTGGGAAAAGTACAGCTAAAGGTCTTATAATACGTACTTGGGAAGAAAAGAAATAACAAACATTATTTCTGCAAGTGTGCTGGTGCCTCACTATCTTAGCTTTCTTATCTCATTGCCACATCCTGCTTGCTCACTTGTGTGTTTCTGCCTCTCTAAATCAAGATGTTGTTTCCATCTATAGCTAATTTAAACAGTGAAGTTGACTAAACCAGGTAAACCGGTTTTGGGAAAAGAAATGATCCAACTTGAACTTCAGCCCAACCAATGAACTTAAGCTTTATTCACTGATGTGTACGTTGCCTGCCAGTCAATAGGCTGCTGTGATAGCTCAGGCCAATGGAAGGGGGAGGTGGGTGCACATACTCTTTTATTTAAATAGCCTGTAGCCTATGTCTTGCCCTCTACCTACTTCTGTGTTCTGAAGCACATGTAGCTAGAAGATGAGTGAAATGAGGGCTAAGTCCTAGGCCCCCCTCCACATAGCTTTCCCCCCAGCTCAGTTGTCTGAATTGTTTGTTTTCCTAACCTGTGCGAGTAAAGTTGTCCTTGTGACCAATAGCCCTTACGACCCGTTCTTCACCCCATGTGCTGTATAATCCATGCTGAGAAGAACAAGCACTAAGCTTGTATGTAGTCATGTGGCTTTGCCTCTGTTAAGTCTGCAAAGAATGATGGAGATATTTTGACTGGGGCCAGAGGGCAGAGGAAACTCTCAAAGAGCTGCTTATCGAAATGGGAAATCTTTCTCATGTGTGTTCTTTGGACTGGCCAAAGGGGATGCCAAGAAAAGAATTAGGAGGGTGGGTTGTCAACATTGTTTTTGCTTTTCTAGGTAGCAGATTGTGTTTGTTCCTGTGATTTTGATACCTGGGAGTTATTGACGTTGCTTGTATGTGGCCCATGATACATTCACTGCTGAGGCTAGAATACTTGCTCACAAATCACTTGAGTCTCTTGTTTCCCCTTCAGCATTCAACCTGTCTATGGAGCTCAGCATCCTCCACTGGATCCCCGGCTTACTAAAAAGTGAGTAGCTTCCCTGGTTCTCAGATCTTTAGCACTCATCACCACATGGTGCTGCTTTGCCCTGGGAAGAAGTCTGTTTTGTCTGTCCAGTTATTTTGCTCTCTCCTGTGGATTACCAGCCTCCAAGGCCTCGGTTTAGTTGGTGATCACAGGAGCTATTGCAAAAAGAGAAAAGTGGGGTGGAGAGAAAGGGAGCAGTACCAAAAATGCTGAAAATGAAATTTAATGGCTTAACATACACTGCTGTGTTGTTGGAATTTTGCTAAGTTTTACTTACAGTAGACCCACTGAAATTAACAGACTTAGTCAGGAGAAGACAAGGCTAAGGAGTAAACCCTATACAAATCTGGAGTGGAGTTCCCAAGACAGTTGGATGGCACCTTGTACACCTCCTTCCAACCAAGCTGGTGTCAAACGTATTGCTCTGCGGAGTCTTGTTATCTGGGCAGCCCAGGCTCTCCATACGCACTGCCCAGGCTTGTACCCCAGGAAGGTCACTTAGGTGCTGAAAATGCAGCAGTTTGACGTCACCCTTGGAAGTGCACTCCATTGTCTCTCGAGACAGACAGATGCCAACAAGAAGTCATGTTCACTAATTTCAGTTGGTTTACTCTGAGCAAAACTTAATTAACTACCACCTAATGTGTTTGAGCTAAACACAGGCTTTGGGACCAAGAATTACAAACTACATGATGTCCTTTGTGAACTAAAACTCTAAGGAAGAACTTTTTAGAGTAGGAGAACTTGCAAGTATTGCCTCAATGAGGGATGTTTTGTTTAAATGCCTTGGATGCCATTTGGACCAATAAATTCCCCATCAGGCACCAATTTGAGCTTTACCTGTTTTTTGGCCCTTGAGTACTGGGCATGTAATGAGTTGGTGGCCCCATTATTAAGTCACTATGGGAAGACATTCCTATCACAGTTGTTGCTGTTATATCCCAAGGGATTCATGAGTCATGGAGTCTAACCTCCTTGTCAGTCTCTAGAGGGGATTCTCCAAGGGAAAAAAGGAGGGCAAAGACTTTAATGCTGCTATCCAAGCTATGCAGAGCCACCCTAGTTTATGTGTTGCTTGTCTTTATATATAAGCGATTGTGGCAGTTTACGATTATAAATCTAACATGTGCCTTCCCCTGTGCTGAACATCTCGCTCTCGTCATGCTGTTGTGGAGTTTATAAATACATTGTTCCCTAAATCACAATGTTTGCTAATACTGATGCATTTTGATAGCGGTTTTCAACTGTTGACTATCACAATCCTATATTCATTCGAATCAATGACACTCTAGCCCAGTCTGTTTGTTTTTGAAGGGGGCCATTGCAAGATGAATATAAAATTATAGAACAACTTTGGAGCCATTTGTCTATCATAGATTCTTCTTAGTTAGTGCCAGTTAAGAGGGAGGGATATCTTGGGAGTGAAGACCACTTCTCTGGATATCTTGACTAAAAACCTTTGATGAGAATATGCTAGATTAATTGAGTCTGATCTTAAATTTCTGTTGTTTTAAAGAGTGTATCCCCTTCCTACCTTGGGAGGTGGAGAAGGGGTTTTTGCAATCTGCCAGTGAAGCCCTGTTCCAGGTGCCATCTCTTTCAGACATTAGATTGTTGTCAGCTAGAAGCAGAGTTTATTTTGTGGTGGCCCCTGAATTCTGGAACACTCTCTCCCTTGAGGCCTTGTTTTTAATTTGACTGCTGTTGATTTTAGTGATCAGCTAGGGTAGGCTTAGTATTGTTGCATCTGAGTTCATTCAAGCCTCTTATGCAAACAGATTATGTCCTGATTTACTACTTCCCTAATGTGACTAAAATCTCCTTCATCAGAAACATTACTTTATGAAAGTTTTACCATTTTCAAAGCATATCTCATGGGTCTGAAGATCTCACTGCTCTTTCTGCATTTGAATGTATGGCTTATACTCATTAATCTCTTTTCAGTGCCTATTTGGACTGACTATATAAATCTGTAAATTTAAATGAATGAAACATTCTTAATGTCAGTTTCTGCTGATGATATTTTATTATTTTTGACACATTTGCAAATAAAAATTCTAAGAAAAGGTGTAACTTGGATGTAAGTGGTCCCCTTCAACAAAGACATCTTCAAGGAATAGCATTAGTTTTTCTGTATTGCCTTTGTCTGGCTTACCTCTTGAACATGCTGTTCTTGACCAGGCTTTCTGAAGTAGTTTTGAGACATTTCCATTTTCTTTGTTCTCAGCTTCTCTCTTGGTCTCCTTAACCTTGCTGGAGTTCATGTGCTTTCTGAGTTTCTTGTTCGGACGTGAACTTTCTCTTTATAGCACAAGGACTTTGACTCATTTAGCTGAGAACAAAGCAAATGCAGCTTATGAAAGAATAGTTGTGCCTGATTATGCCTCTCTTCTATGTATATGTCAACCTGATAGCAAAGCAGTATGTTATTGTGGCTACTTTCAAATTGTATGCCTGCACTTTTACTGTTCTCCAGGATTCCATATGTGCTCCCTGAAGTTGAATCCAGTCTCCTCCTTTGCTTTGCTTGCCAAGCAATACTTCAGACTGGCAACCTTTCTTCATCGAGGCATTTGGCAGAAGCATTTCTCCTCACTGTCCCATGTGCCAAGACTGCAAAGCTCACTGGTTCAGACATTGAACTTTGCACTTGGTGGAGAGCTTATAGGAAGACTTTGCATTCCTTCTCTTTACCCTGACCAGACGAGAAAGGAACTGTACCATGGGATGGAGAAGTGGCAGTGGGGGCTTGACCTGCAGAGGAAATGGAATCAAGTAGGGCAAATTAGGCTATAGGCAGGGGAAGGTGCGATGCAGAGTTTGACCACATTGCATTAATGCCAGCTTCCTTTATTTTGTAGCTTCATCAAGGAACGGTCAAAGATCAGCACGCTACCCATGAAGAATAAGAAGGCCAGCAGTTTTCACGAGTTTGCCCGCAACACCAGTGACGCCTGGGACATTGGGGATGATGAAGATGAGGACTTCCCATCTTTCCAGACTTTGAACTCTAAGGTGGCCAAGGCCACAGCAGCCCAGGTGCTGGAGAACCACAGCAGGCTGCGTGTGAAACCCGAGTGGCCCCAGGTGGCTCTGAATGAAGCACCAACCAATTGTAAGGTCATCAAGTCCAATAGTGAGGCCCAGCTGTCCAGAGCACCTGGTAAGGGCCCCCTGGCCTTTTTACCCTATGTGATCTTGTCAAAGGTGTGTGGGTTTTACAGGTCTGCACAAGGGTCACTTTGGGAGTCAAGTGCAGAACTTAGCATTCTGAGGATCTTGAATTCTAGCCAAGGAATGTGGATGATCTCTCTCTTATGGCTGAAAAAATAGATTTGAATATGCGTGGTCAATTCCTGTTGACACCTTGAAAGCTGGTGAGGGGTTGAGTTAGTGCTTTATGGAGCTCCCTGTTTGCCTCATTTTAGCAGGAGCAGAATAAATTAATACTGATAATATGTGACTTCTCTTGATTTTCATAACTCTCATTAGTGGACACTGTTGTTGGTTGGTTGCTCGGATAGGTGAATCCTTCGTCTGATCCAGTAGCATCCTTCTTATTCAGCTAGTAGAAATTTGCTTTCGTTGGCACAGACTATATAGGTTACCTTGGTGTAGTTTTACAACACATATACTTTTGCAGAGTATGCACAGATCTGGTATACTTCCATGGGATAAAAGCCTAGTGTCCTGTCAAATCAGGCCCACTATTGGGCACAGTTCTTGTGTTACTCCTTTTGCAAGTGATTGGGGCAAGCTTTCTATGAGTAAGCCTTCTTAGTTAACAATGAACCAATCTGAATAGGGTTTACTGGATGGGGGTGGGTGGGACCTAGAGCTTTGCACTAAGGACTTTGGAACAGGCATGCAAGACATACTCAAAATAGTTTAGATAATATGGACCAGACCTTTTTGTGATGGTGCTAGTGGAGTAAGCAAAGCATACTCTACTTTTTAGCTCTGAGAATGTGCCTTCCTATCACAGAACCACCACCAGATGGCTCCAGAGTCCATGTCTCACCTCCAGTTATCTGCTGGAAACTGACTGGCCACTTGGCATGGAGGTGTCAGTGGAATTTGGGATAGTAAACTGCCTTTGTGTTTTTCTGCTTCCTCCCATATGTGTTGAGTTGTCTGTCCAGCATGTTAGAAGAGGAAGGAAGGAAGGAAGGAGAGCATGAACATTGGAGCAAAAGGATTGACCTTGAGGAGATGATGGATGGAGAGCAGTGAGAGCCTAGCTGTGTTTATTGTTGGAGGACAGGTCAGATGAATCTTTGCCTCAGTAATTATGCAACAAAAATGGTCTGAGAGCCATCCATGCAAACCACTGAGTGATGCCTGTTCTGGATAATGTGGTATTTTCTTTCACCACTACTTATTAGCCCAGAAAAAGTGAGCAGGACTCCTGGATCACTACTGTCCTGTGCTGCTAAAGCATTGTTCCAGTTGAACTGAAAGTCCAAATATTACATTAAAGGGATTCCTTCTGTTCCACAGAACGTGCAGTTGAAGCAGAGTAGCTTCCCAGCAGGAGTGCATGAGTTTATATTTCCTGCTCGTTGAGGTTGCGTTTGTATGTTTTTAATAATAGCGTGGCAGGAAAAAATTCAGTTGGTGGAGCTTCTGTCCCCATTCAGTGATGGGGGAGAAACTTCACAGGTGTGGAGCCTTTCTTTGTCGTGCATGTTTGTGAAGGTGTGCAGACCTTATTGGGAATGGTAGTGGATTCTGGAAGCTCCAGACAGTGCTTGCCGCTGCCCAGTATGCTCATGGCCTGATGGACCTCTTTAAACTCTTTTAGAGGATGCCTGTGTGTGCAACCCCCTCCACAAACAGCAATCCCTCCCACTCCGACCCATCATTCCGCTTGTTGCTCGCATCTCTGACCAAAACGCTTCAGGGGCTCCTCCCATGACGGTGCGTGAGAAAACTCGCTTGGAGAAATTCCGGCAGCTTCTGTCTAGCCACAACACAGATCTAGGTGAGTCCAGGCAATAAACTCAGAGGGTCCTGTTAGTTTCAGGGATACCACCAGAGGGGGACGGCAGTGTGCTCCCCGTTTGGTTCCTTTCTCTTGTTTAGTAGTTTTCCGTTGAAACTGTACTCAGTAACTAGGATAAGTGTGACACTCATGTCTTGTTTTGTTGAGCGGCTAATAAGCACTGCCTAAATTGGGAAGTCATCCCAGGCATTGCGGAATACAACTCCCATAATCTTTATTCAGTATGGCTAGTTGTCAAGGATTATGGAAGTTAGGTATCATGGCATCTGCAGGGCACCATATTGGCTGCTCCTGGTTTAAAGAGTGGTGTGCGACTCTGAATCAATGGAATATATTTATTTTTTAAAAAACCTTTTCCAGTGCTCCAGGCTGCTTATGCCATGTATTTGGACCACAATTCTACACCCCTTTATCTGGGAGAAAGCTGTATTGCAATCAATGAGATTTACTTCTGGGTAGACACATATGGAATTGCAGTGCAAGTTACATAAATGTTTGATAAAAATACAATTAAAAACCTATAATTACAAAAAAAGAAAAAAAAGGAATCATAAACACCATCACCATAGAAACCTACATATCTAGCAAAAAAGTCTTTCTCGTGGTTCTGGAACCTGCCAAGCTGACAGGAGTTGCTTTTCCTCCCTAGTGTAGAAATGCCAGCCAAGCTACTGCGTGTGAATAAACTTAACTGCTCTCCATTTGCAGATGAATTGAGGAAATGCAGCTGGCCTGGGGTCCCCAGAGAGGTCCGGCCTGTGACGTGGCGACTACTATCAGTGAGTGCTGCTTCCCTAAGCTGGGGTGACTTGTGTACATTTGCAATCTATAGAATACATATAAACGACAGAGCTGGACTCTAGGGAAACATGTCAGCTATACTAGGCCCTGGTTGAGTTATTCAGGTCTTTTTCAGCCTAGGCACCTGGGATCCTTTAACTGGAGAGGAATGTCTCTCTCCCATAAACATGAGAGAATAATACCTTTTAAAAACTAGGCATAAAAGCAATGGAGACTTAGAAATAAGAGTTGCCTGTACGTTGTGCTGGTTATACCTGGAAAAAACAAACATGCTGCTGGATTCCAGAAAGCCGCTTCTGCAAAAAGTGAGATATGATGATTGGCTTCAGAAACATTTTTTTTTTTTTTGTAGCAGCAAGTGTTAAAACGAAGGTTGTTGGATTCCATGCAAGGTAGCCTTGAATGTCCCTAAGAGTGATGGGGGGATTCTGGCAGGTGCCACTTCTCCCACCACACTTGGATGGAAGGACTTGCCTTTGCTTAACCTTCTATGAGATTCTTACAGGGCTCCAACTTTTCTTTTACTGAATCCTGCACTCCTGGTTAGAGCATTTCTCCTGCAAACTACTTTCAAGCATGCATGTGTGTAGGGCAGTTGAGGACTTTGAGCACAGCAGAGGAAAAGGAGACTTGCCTTGACAGGCTTTTCTTTCTCCTACAGGGTTACCTCCCTGCCAGCATGGAGCGGAGGAAGCTGACTTTGCAGCGCAAACGAGAAGAGTATTTTGGTTTCATTGAGCAGTATTATGACTCCAGAAATGAGGAGCACCATCAAGATACATACCGGCAGGTACCCAGCCCCCTACTTGCTGCTGCCTGCCCTTTCTTTCGCTTAGCATCTGGGGTACATTAGGATTCCATGGCATAGGGCTTAGTCATTCCACTAACAGTGGCAACAGTGTGCTTTTTACCTGTAACCTCGTCTCTTACCCTGGCAGACCCATCCTACACAAAACAGCGTTTGTGGGTGTTAGTGGTCAGAAGTGAGCAGATGTTAACTCTTGACCTGCCAAGAGATCCTAGAGAAGAAATACTTTAAAAATTTACCCAGGTATTTGAAGTGGCCTTTAAAAGGTGTTCTGCTTTCAAGCATTCCAGATACTCTGCTTTGTGTTCTAAATGCAGCCTCTGTTGAAAGGATTTTGGATGATAAGCCAGCATGCTCTTTTTTATTAAAGAAGGAGGAGCAAAACAGTTCTTCGGGATTTCTGAATGAGTCAATATCACCTCTTCCATCTTAAGTCATAGTTCTGCTTTGGCTTGAGGCAGAGAAATATTGCCTCTAGTGCTGCAATTGTGCTAATCAGCTTGGCAACCATTAATGTTCTCTGATACATATATATTTTACAATTGTCTTTCAGATCCATATAGACATTCCACGGACGAACCCCCTCATCCCTCTGTTCCAGCAGCCACTAGTACAGGAGGTAAAAGGGGCCTTTTCTTTTTAGCTTTCCTGCAGTGTGAGTTGCCAGCCTGTGTTGATGGGCAGGAAGTTTCTCCTGCCCCCCCAAAAATATCTAGCATTTTCCCCCAGTCAGCTGCTTTCTGCTGTATGCATGGGCTTTTCTAAAAAAGAAAGTCATAGCTGATTTCAACCTCAGCCGTGAAATTTTGTACATTTCATTCCAAAAGCAAAGTTGCCACCCATTTCTTAATTTGGTATCTTGTGCAAATTCTGTGCTCAAGCTGAACTCTCAGCTGAAATGCAAGGTTTTTTTGCAGGAGCAAGCTCAGTTTGCATGCTTTACTTACAGTTCCCTAGGGGTGGCAGGAACTGCCCTTTCCTTCAAGATCCACATGTATCTGGAAACGATAGAACTAGACATTAGATGATGCGTGGCTGTCCATGAGATTCAGCCTTGAATCTCATTTTCCCTCTCTTTGGTAATATCTGGTAATAAAAAATATGTGACAAGACTTCACCCCATTATTTTTCCTTATCCCCCTACACATCATTGGATGCTGGTTGCAGGGATGTAGAAACGCATAACATGGTGACAGCATGTCCTATATTTTGTGTTACTAGATGATGCAGGGAACAGAGGCGGGAAAAATGTGGGACTGCTGTTTCCATCTGCAGGTATGCAGTACCCATAATATGTAATTCTGGGCTCAATTTCATAAGACTCCACAATTTGAGTTGATGTCTCCTAGGAACAGAGACTGCCAGCCTGTTACGCCAAGTGTGCTTATGGCAAGATATCATCTCAGTCCCAAAGGCACACTATCAGTGTGTGTGTTGCAGAGTTGTGCATGAAGTTTCGCAGCAACAATGTGACTTGCCAGAGGCTAAATAGTTTGTTAGTGGCAGAGCCAGGAATGAGCTACAGCTTCTGTCTGAACCAGACAGAATTGCAGGAATTAATAATGAAAACTGACTTTTGCAGTATAGCTCAAAATCCTTTGACCGACCTAATCCTGTTGAATATTTACTGATGCTTGCAGAGCATGCCAGTTCAGTCAAGTCTGAGTGGACTTAATCCAAGTCCCTTCTGCACAGCGGAGAGACAGGGTTTGCAAAGAACCAGTAACTGACTGATGTTGGAGTTTATGAAAATTGATGTCTAAAGCCACAGGCCCTGCTATCATGCAAGCTTGATTCACATTTTCTGGTTTTTGGAGCACAGAAGCCCACAGTGTGTCCCATTAGGGGGGAAAACTCAACAAAGTCCTGTGCTGTTGTCTTGAAATTAATAGGTTCATGACTGTTCTGAGCTACATTGTCATTGCTACTGTAATATGGCTTGTTTGCTGGTGTATGCCTCCTTTCTCCTTTTAGCGGACAATGGCTCATAGATTGGGGGTTAAAGCATTGTTCAGCCTGTGGCTTAAAGCATTGTTCAGCCTGAAACCTAGAATACTTCATTGTTAACGTAGGTGGTAGTGCTGTAAAGCAAACTGTCATGCTCAGAGTATGATTAACGAGAGCTGTCTATTGTAATTGTGCTGAACGCCATTGCAGACCAATCTGCTAAACTGTAAAATGAATATATGCAGGCTCCTTAAAGGAATTTCCCCCCAAGAAATGTATGTCCAAGGTAATGAGGATGGCACCCGTCTTTATAACAGTTTTGCAAGGTTTTTTTGCAAATAGCGGCAAATGCCCTCCAGATCTGTTCTCTTGTGTTTTGTTAGAGGACAAGTCTTTAAATCTGACATTTTGCTTGCCTGCAAATTTTGATCCTAGTGGATGCAAATGGAATGAGGTGCTCCAGCCAGCAGCCCACCAGTGTTCTGAAGGCAGGGCTCCTCATCTTTTGGAAGTGCACATGTAGGAATTGTATGAAACTTCAACCATAGCTTAGGTTCTTGTGGATTTCAGCTTTCTTAAGTGAAGAACAGCATGTTCCTTGCCCATGGTTGTGGACATAACATTTCAAAAACATGCAAGCCAAGGCAACTAAAAACAAGAAGAAAACAAAATCCCCACCCCATTCCATTGTTCAGAATGCACACCTTGAATGGCTGCTAGTTCCCCATTGCCCGTTCCCCATTGTACCTTCTTACGTTCCATTATCCATAACACTTACTGCTCCTTAGCCATGCCTGATTCCTGCCGTTACAGCCCTTTGCATTCAGGTAGCCAGCTCAGAATAAAACATACAAAAAGAACATCTTCAGGTGTAATTTTTGTAACTTTGCTGTGATTTGTTCTCACTCAAATGATCTGTTTTCTTTGAAGAACTTGGACTTGTGTTTCTTGACACGTGTGGTAGCAGATGACTAAGGGTTGTATTCATCATAGTGCCAATGAGATAACTCCACCAGTACAACAAATTACTGCTTACCCAACAAAACAATCTCCCCTCTCCTCTCCCTCTGCACTGTCTTGGGGGTTCTCCTGAAGTCCCATTGTGGTGGCTTCTGCTAACAAAGCAAATTAGCTAAATACAGTATGGCCCTAAATATATTGGCAGTGATTCGGTAAGGCTGACTTGCATGCTAGAGGAGGGTGTAGTGTGTTGAACTGGGAACACTGGGCTATTACCAGGGTAGACTTTTTATTCATTGGGCATTATTTCTCTGACAGCAGCTCTCCAGGGTTTCAGGCAGAGATATTTCCCACTACTTGCTTACCTGATCCTTTTTTAAACTGGAGGTGCCAGTGACTGACTCAGTGGCAGATCACAGCGGCATGTAGTCATTTCTCTAGTTTAACCATCTCTCAAGATATTTTCTGCAACAGAGTGGTTTGAATTATAGAAAAATGTGGCATGTTATGTTTAGCAAAATCAGAGGGAGGAAGCCTAGGTAGTGGGTGGATTCAGCTCTTGAATCTCGTAAGTGGAAACCGGAATGAGGGCTCCCACTAGTGCAACAGGGCTTTCCCCCCCTCCTCCTGTGTCCCCAGCAGCCCCTGAGATTGGCTCTGTGGGTGTCAGGAGAACCCCAGAGCAACATGCAGGGGGAAAGAGGAGGGGACCGTTCCATCTGGCAAGCTGTTGCACTGATGGAACACTTGCCGTGATGCTGTGTTGCTTTCCTTCCAGTTCCACCTACTAGAAGCACCCTTTAACTAGTTTTGGCAAAGCATATTTAGCAAGCTAATCCATCCAAAAGCTGTAAGGTCTGGCAGCTAAAAGCTGCTCCAGTTGCTGGGCTACGAATAAAACTGCACTTTGAAATCCTGTTTATCCATGGCATTTTTCCTTATGCAAACGAGGATGAACCTGTTGCAAGCGCTTCCAGCTGGAGCATGAGGTCTCAAATAGCCCGTAATTTGGGCAACATCTCACTTGTTCCCTTCAAGCAAGACCACAGATATGAAGGAGATCTTGAAGAAAATCAAATAAATGAAAGCTGGCGAAAAAACTGGGTGGCATTGTGTCAGGGCAACACTGGAGAAATTTTTATTCTACATATGCTTGTCATCCTGGGATCCTATGGGATAAAGGGTAGCTTATGAATATAAATAAATAGAAGCTCCCTTTTTACTCTGTGCTTGGATGAACTGCTGTCTGTATGTTTCTCTTTCTTTTTTGTTTAAGAGATGGAAACTTACAATGCTTTCTTTATGCAGAACTGAAAGTTTAAATCTTTGGGAGGGGCACAGGGCTTCCCTTTCCTCCCTGTGGCTACAGTTATTTTGGGGAGAAAGGGAAGGAAAAAAACTTCTGGCCTACCATCTGCCACTATGTGAACATGGTGAAAGCAAAGTTAGATAATCCTCAGACTGCATCTCGTTCCCCTCTGTTTTGATGGCAGAGCAATAAACGGAAACATCTTTCTGCAGTTGTTTTCAGGGCAGAGAGCTCTCATGTAAAGGATGGTAATTCTGACTTCCCACTGGCCTACATGCAGCATCTTACGCTGGTTCATGTATATCCTGGCTGGCAAACCCCCAACATGAAGGTGTTACCTAGCTACCCAAGCAATCTTTCTGCCCCCCCCCTCCAAAGATCCCAGCAGTTTGAGTGGCAGTGGCAAAAAAAGAAGCAACAACCCTGTGTCCTCTGTGTGTGCACGCATGTGGGAGTTTAAGGTGGTCATACCCAACACTGGTATGTGGTTTTTGGAGAGTTCACCCAAGAGTACATGTGGTTCTTGGGCCCCCAAAAGTGTAGCCACTCTGGTTGTAGTCTGTACTTCATACTGGGTCTCTCTGCACCTTAGGCTGTGTGCATTTCTAACTCTTTATCGCACACTCTTCCCCCCTTGTGCTTGTCAGCCTTTCCACTTCTGTCTTTCCCCTGGGCATGGCTAACTCGAGCACCTGGCTTTCCTTCTCCCTCTCTAGATCTTTGAACGAATCCTGTTTATCTGGGCCATCCGACACCCAGCCAGCGGCTACGTGCAAGGGATTAATGACCTGGTCACTCCATTTTTTGTCGTGTTCCTCTCTGAATATGTTGGTAAGCGATGCTGGATGGCTGCAATGTGCTCTTAGTGCTTGCTGATGAATACTCAAATTGTCATCATTGGGTAAGCTCTGTCATGCCAGAACTGCTTTGCTGTTGGCTGCTGTAGAAGCTAGTAGTGCATATTAATCTGTTCTCACTTCTGCCCTGGATTGGCTTTCATCAGTTGCATACTGTGCTTAACAGTGAAAACAGGTATGGTTTTGAATGCATCTCTAACTGGGATTTCTAGAAGGGCAAAACAAGCCATTAGTGTCCGAAATGCCACTAAGAGTAATAGCTAAGCTGTGTCAAAAATATTTAAATACTTTGCCAAGGATGCCAGCATCTTTCAATCAGGATGCATTATGCATTGAAACGCCTGCATTTCTGTGGTCCAAGGCAAGCCGTTCTCATTCTCCTGTAATTTTTAGAAAGCTGACAAAATGACATAATGGCCAAGATTATTTTTCATACTTATGCACCTCTCATACTTTCATCCCAGGCATTTTTATATTGTGACACCTGTAGATGTTAACTCATTTTGTCTTGTACAACCACCTCATATGGTAAGCCGGTTACCATGATCTGTCTTAGGAGCAGAATGTGTTGTCTGCCCCCTCCCCCCAAAAACCTAATTAAAGCCATGTTTTCCAAAAGTTTTTTTAAAAAAAATAATATTTATTAAAAGTTTAAAGATTACAAAAAAAGAAAGAAAAAAAGAAAAAATAAACAATACAAATCAATACATTGCTATACATAAAAAAAGAAAAAACAAAAGACACAATACATCAAAACAAAAGCAAAAGCAAAAACAATTAAAAACACATCCAATATTTCCATATCTTTGTCTTTCATTAACTTGTTTCATCGACCTCCTCACACCTCCCTTTTTTGTGTTCTAGTTATTAATTATTTCAGCAAATCTTTTCCATCTTTCACTATTTTCTGTCATATAATTGTCATAATTTATTTTAACCTTATCTTACCATTAATACCCTAAAACTTATTTGTACTTAACTCCTTATAACATTTCTACTAAAGCCGTGTAATTTCATTCCAACATTTTTCTAACACTCATTAATTTTACAATGTTTCTATAAATAAATTTTAAACTTTTTTCCAATCTTCTTCCACCGTCTCTTCTCCTTGGTCTCGGATTCTGCCAGTCCTTTCTATCAATTCCATATGGTCCATCAACCTGGTGATCTTCTGTCCAAGGCTCTTAACTCTTTTCCATGTCCCTTCTGCAGATCTTCTTCATGTTTATACATGCACTTTACTTTATCTTCTGCTGATCTTATTCTTAATTTCCTTCCTTTGACACTGAGGAGTAGATCTCGGGGAAGCTCCAACCTAACAATGTCTTTATTACTTCTCGACAGATCAGCCCATTCTCCATAATCAAAACTAGAGTCCAAAAGATATTTCAGGATGTGTTTCAACTGGCTTTCTCTAAATTCAGTCGTAGAAAGCAACAGCTTATATTCATCAAATTGTCTCTGTAAGACTGGGGCTCTTTCCACTTGTATTACTTGAGGTTCTACAACAACTTTCTCCCTCGTCTTCTCCACAACTTGCCATGTCGAAGTAGATTCCTGAATCGATTCCTGAGTAGTTTCCATATAGATATTCACCTCTTGTCCCAAATCAGTCATTTTTTGTCCCAAATTATCAATTTTAACAGTCATCACATCCATCTTCTCATGAAGCTGTTCCAATAAAGCACTTATCTTGCAAAATGCAATCACTAAGGCTTCTTCTGTCGACATTCTTGTCCAAGGTCAATCTCTGATTCTCACGGTCTTTTATCTCTGCAGCTGGAAAATTCCCCAGCTCCACTCCTGCAACAGTTTCACAAGCTCCCTCTAGAGGAAACAATTTCTATTTGTATCCGTCCTTTTAAACGCAGATCCAGCAACAAAGTTAGTTTCAATCTTTCAGTTACTTTTGCTCCTTTTTGAGTGCAAAAGGAAACAATGGAAACAATATATTTCTCTTATTTAACTATCTGTCAACGTACGTTTTATTCACAGTCAATGAACTTTCCCAAAACTTCGATCTTACTGGCAGCCCGTTCCCAGGTTCAAAACGGTGGTAATTTGTCTTTCTTCACTCTCTCTCCTGCAGGCTTAGGCGATCTAAAATTCTCCCCCTCTTCTCCTGCTTCCAAGGGGGGTTTAATAATTTTAACCGATGGAAATTTAATCCTTTACAAAAGGCTCTCCAAGACTTTAGCTTGCAGCGTCTTTGCTCAATCTATTTACAAAAGAGGAAGGCGGACTTCCTGTTTGAAACCTTCCCGTTTCGGTGCCGAATTAAGATGTTTAACGATCCAATTTTCCGTTTTACTCACGGGTAGTTGTTTAAAATCCAATTGTCCACAGGAAAAAGTCAGTGCTCTCCGGCAACGGCAATGCTGCTTCACTCCGTGAAAGAAGCAGTCGATTCGAAGCACCGTGCCGCTCACCCCACATCACTTCGGATCCCCAAAACCGGGTTTCCCCGCGAGTAGGGGAGGCGCAAAAGGTGCCAGCCGAATCCCACGTCCACAGGCTTCTCCCGCCTGTGGTTTTTAGTGGGTCTCCGCCTTCGCCGTGGCGGCCAGACCCTGATTTCCACGGAGCAGATTCCTCCCGATCAGAGGATTTCCTCCATTGCCGGAGGCGCTAACCCAAACATGTTTTCCAAAAGTTTTGAAGGGGGGCCTTCCTGTACACTTAACCTTCAGCAACCACTTGTGCACTACTAACGCCACCTTTGAACCTTGCCTTCACATTCTGTTGCAGAAGCAACAAAAGAACATCATAATGTTCATAGTTAACATCCATTTTCAATGCTAAAATAATTTTTAATGTAAAACTAGAAATGCAGGTATTTGAATAAAATTTATACATTTCAAGCACCAACAGGATCCTAATACATAAGTGTGTGCATTAATAAATATTTGGGTTTTGTTGGTGATGGAGTTATTTTGTGGGGACCCTTATTGTGTTAAGAATTGTATCCTAAAATTTAAGCATGACATGAAGGAAAGGAGTGAATGAGCCTGTCTAGTAACATGTCTTGCCCCACACATGCCCATTCGACTGCTTTGATCTGTGAAACCTGGACTTTTACAAGTGCCACGCAATGTTCGTTTAGCATTTATGAGGACTCTTAATTTTTAGCATGGCAGCAGCTGTGCTTTGGGACTTCCTGCCTATTGACATTAGGCAGGCACCCTTGCTGTATTGTCTTGATGCCTACTGAAAATGTCTTTATTTCAGCAAGTCTACCCAATCATATAATTGAATTACCTATATTTGTTTTGAAAGATTTACTGGTTTTACCTCTCTGTAGCAGTGATAATTAGTTTATATCTATTTGCTTTTTAAGGTTTGTGAGTTTTAGCTGGGTTTTATCTAAAATTCTATTATGTACACCATTTAAAGAACTCTTTGATTATGTGGTGTGTGAAGCTTTCCAAATACAGTTTAGAAATAAGTTAAAGAGGTTGCATAGCAGTAATAATTTTTGGGAGGGGGAAAGCCTCTGAAAATGAAGGAGAACCTCCATGTTGTGTGACCCACCTACAACCCATCAGAACCTACCTACCTGTGGCTTGGGCTCCTCAGTTTGAGAATTTCTGCTTTAAAGGCTTGAGGGTAGGAATGCTAGATTGGGTTTTGCGTCTGAAGCAAGGAGCTGGCTAAGAAATATTGGGACAACAAAGCCATGCTAGACCGGTACTCTTGCCCCTTTTGGGCTCGACTGCATGCCATTCCCTGTACTTTTGTTTGTGGATGCTCCTCCTTGACCTACTAGTCTTGATAGCTGTCATGAACCACCTTCTGCTGCACACGAAAGACTAGCCTTTTATAACCTGGAAACCCAATTTCTGTAGCTTCACGGTGAGAGCAAGAAATTATGTATTTTGCAAATATTGTGCAAACATCTGAGCACAAATGAGGCCATTGAATATTGGTAGAGATGAGGATTTGAGGCCATGTTAGATACTCCACCCTAGTTGTAATCAGAGGAGAATATGAAATGGAACTTCACAAATGGCTGTTTGGTAAGTAAGGGCAGGGAGTTGGTAACTACGGCAAAAACCAAGTTCCATGGTTATTGGTGCAGTTGGCCATACAGTAAATAGGCATCCTTGTTGATTGCTAATGCTATAAATGTGGATACTAAAAACATCTTCAGGTTTTCATCATGTTCTTTCCTCCCTGCTTTTTAAATTGTCATGCTGACTTCACTCATTCCAAATTCAGGGATGAGGAACTCATAACTATCCAGATATTGTTTGACTCCCATCAGCTCCAGCAAACATGACCAATTGTTAGGATTGATGGGAGTTGTAGCCCAGCAACATCTGGAGAGCCACAGGTTCCTCATCCCTGACATACCGTATTTTTTGCACCGTAACACTCACTTTTTTCCTCCTAGAAAGTAAGGGGAAATGTCTGTGCATGTTATGGAGCGAATGCCTATGGGTGGCGGGGGGGGATCTGCTGCAGTCGTGAGCAGAGGATCCATGGTTCCCCTTCCTTCCCTCCTCCGTGGCTCACTTTGAAACAGCAAAGCGGGAGAAGAGCCGCTGAGTGGGGAGGAGAGAGGGACAGAGAGCCTGCTTGCTTTAAAGGAGCAAAGCGGGAGAGGAGAGGAGCCGCTTACACGAGTGTAAGCGGCTCCTGTCCGGTTGGCTCCTTTAAAGCAAGCAGGCTCTCTGTCCCTCTCTCCTCCCCACTCAGCTCGCTAAATAGCAGCAAAGTTTTTCAGCTCGCTAAGCCGGGGATGAGCGGGGAGGAGAGAGAAAAGCAGAGCCTGTTTGCTTTAAAGGAGCAAAGTGGGAGAGGAGAGGAGCCTTCTCCCCTTATACCCCTCTTCTTCATTATTAGCAGCATCCTTCTCCACCCACCCCACGCATGCTCCTTGTCCCTTGAGTGCTTTTCCTTCCCTCCCCACTTAAAACGTGGTTACAAAGCACGGATTCACATGGATCCTCAGGATTTTTGCACTGGGTCACCCCAAATTCACCATCAGATCACATAGCATGTCCATGGCTACATCTTGCACCAAAAAAATCACGCACCCACTGTTGCCTGGGGCTGCAGTAGTGCAAAAACGTGGTTACAAAGCATGGCTCCACATGGATCCTCAGGATTTTTGCATTGAGCTACTCCAAACTCACTGTCAGATCACATGTCTGTGGCCACAGCATGAACCACAAAAATCATACATCCACTGTATCGTTTAGAATATTTTTTTCTTGTTTTCCTCCTCTAAAAACTACGTGCGTGTTATGGTCTGGTGCGTGTTATAGAGCGAAAAATATGGTAGATGTTGAGAAGCATGGGAGACAAGATAGAACAGTATGGAACCCCATAGCATTAATGCTATAGGTCCAAGTAGTATCCCCTCAGCACCACCTTCTGGAATCAGCATTCCATATATAAATGGAACCAGTGGAATACTACACTGTCAGGACCCAACCTGGAGAGCCTGTCTAGAAGGATATCCAGCTGCCAAGAGGCCCAGAAGAATTAGCAGTCACATTCTCTTTGTCTCTCTCCCAATTTGGTCATCATTAAGCAACCCAAGCCTTTCTGTGCCTGATCCGGGCCTGAAACCAGATTGATTCTGTTGATCCATTTTATTCTCATCTAGAATTGCATGCATAGCATCAGAATTCAAACTGGTGCTTCAAAGTTCTAAATACCAGCCGCTTCCCTGGCAGCTCACAGTAGCAACTTTTTCATTTCTTTTTTTCTTTTGGCTACTCTTGCCTGTAACAGGCTTCCTTAAATAGCTGCTTCTTATCTGTGGTTTGAGCTGTTTCTGTACACATTCATCCCCTAATGGCACAGCCTGCAGCATAGATGGCTGAGTCAGCAAGCCAGCAGGATCTCCCCGGGGAAGCATTTTGTGTGGGAAATGACTGCTTTGTTTGGAGGCAGGAGTTCTTAAGCCCTTATCTCCAAATAAACTCTTGCTTATGCATTTGTGCTGACACCTGTGCCTCTTAATATTGGATTTACTGGTCTCTCGTAGCATCTGTCCTCAGCAATGCATTAACCTTGGTCTGCCAGGTCACTGCCACTCATTAACCCCCCACTCCTGGGGGTAAGTGTTGTGTTCCCAGCTGATGTCCTCAGCCAATTTTTGTGATGGATTGAGAAGTGTCTCACGGAAAGGTCTGCTTCTCAATACATGTGTATGACCAACTGTTGCTTTTTGGGAGGGGACAGTCATTCAAGAGCCATACAAGGATTTTGAAGCACACGCATCTGGGCAACATGGTTCAGTTGACAGAAGATGGCATTTTGGAAAGCACCCAAAGATATTGGTTGTTGTGGAGCTTTTATCAATGAGATATTCTGCATTGAGAACTGGGCACATCTGGATGCCCTCTTCCAAAAAGGACCGGAGAAGATCCGGAACAAGGCAATGGAGCCATTGTCCTTAGACACGACACACAGAAAGGATTCTAGGAAGTTCTGCCCTACAATATAGACAAGTAGTCATGGCTGCTTTCACCTTTCTGAAATTGCCTTTCCATGATTCCTAGTGAGTCGCCTGACCACTGACCTGCAGCAAACTCTGTCCCCTGCGCATTTCCTCTTTCTCTTGTATGCTGCCTCTTCCAAAGGTGAACACCATTTGCTTGCTGCACAAGCCCAGCTGTCTTTGTGAGATGGCAGAGCACTTCTGGGCCTCTGCCAGGGACAGATCTATATATGGTGTCTGATGCTCCCATCAGATCAATGGTTTTAGCCGAAGATTGCTGAGCACTGCTTGTTTTAGCTAGTGCTGTCTGACAGGATGGCTTATGGGAGTTGTCAGGGCTGCAGCTGCAGAGGATATTTAGCATCCTACAGGTTGAGCTAGTGCAGGCTGCCAAAGGTCCTAAACCAGCAGGATAGTGGTCTTTTGGAAGAGATTTTAGGGTTGCCTTAAAGATGCATATACAAGTGATGTCCAGCACGGACAGCATCTTGCCCAGCAAAAGCAAGGTAGGCCTGCTGGGATATGTGTGTGTTGGTGGGAATCAAGGACTTGAGTTAATGGGCATTAAAATGGCAAATGGTAATTCACTATAAGCAAGTGTAAAGTAATCCACATGGGGGGGGGACACCACCCTTATTTTGCATATATGCTAATGGAGTCTGAAGTGGCAGTGACTAACCAAGAACAAGACCTTGGGTTTGCAGTAGATAGCTCAGTTAAGATGTCAACCCATTGTGAAACCCATTAAGAAAAAGGCAAATTCCATATTAGGGATTGTTTAAAAAGGGATTTAAAACAAAAGCAGCAATGTCACTATGCAAACCTATGTTGAGGCCACACTTTAAATGCTGTGTGCAGTTCTGATTTCCTTATCTCAAAAAGGATCATGCAGCGTAGGAAATGGGGCACAGAAGGACAACCAAAATGAGCAAGGGGTTGGAGCAATTCCCTTTTGATGAAAGGTTACAGCATTTGGGGCTTCTTAATTTAGAGAAAAGGTGACTAAGAGTCAACATGATAGAGGTGCATAAGATTAGGCATGGTGTGGAGAAAATGGATAAGGGAGATGTTTTGCTCCCTCTCTCTTAATACTGGATGCCAGGGTCATTCAGTAAAGCCAAATCTTGGAGGATTCAGGACCAAAATATAGGAAGTGCATAGTTAAACTATGACATTCGTTCCCACAAGATGCAGTGACGGCCACCAACTTTTATGGCTTTGAAATGGATACCAGCCATAACTGTTTTGCCTCTATTGTTGGAGGCAGAATGCATCTGAATAACAAGTGTGGAGAGTGCTATTGCACTCGGCTCCTGCTTGTGGGCTTCCCATAGGCATCTTGTTGACCGTTGTGAGAACTGAACTATAAATGACTCTTGGGCCTGATCCAGCAGGGCTCTTTGTATGTCTTAAAATGTGCCTAAATGTAACACTCAATTCAGCTATCTGATCCTTGGGGAAAAGTACAAAATGTCCAGGTTTTCTTCCCCCAAAGCAACAGTTCAAAGAATCAGGACTCTCTTAATGCCCTTTTAAATTACAATAATTAAATGCCAGTGCAGTTGAGAATTAATGGCTTTTTGTGTGTGGTCCATCTTCCCCTGACTCCAGATCTCATAAATTCTCCAATGTCTCTATAAAAAAAAAGAATATTTGTGACCGCGCAAGATGCGAGAATGTAAAAGAGAAGACGAAATAAAATAAAAAAAATTCCCCAGTCAAAGTACTATAAAGAAGAGAATGTTGCATTGATTCAATCTTTTGTTTTTGGGTGGGGTGGGGGGAAGCTGAGGGACACTGTAGTGTATGGAAATTACTTCCTATTATGCATTTCTGCCCTCATTGTTACTTCCAGTTTGCTCTAACCACCTAATTGTGTCTATAATTAGAAACTGAGTACTCTTAAATTACATTTGAAAAGTCAAATTCTACTGTCCTTTCCCTCTTTCTGGTGCCTTGGTTGGCACAACTATCTGCTGCTGGTGTACAGGACAGGTATTAATCCTAGAATGACAGCTTGCCTGCCTGTATTGCTGTCTCGGTTAGTGCCCATCTGGCAGCATCCTGAGCCATCACTTTTGTTCAGCACTTTTGTGCTGAACTGAAAGTAAACAAAGCCAGCTGAGTTGATGCCTTCAAAATGCAAAGATCATTTTAAAAACAACATACGTAACTGTGGCGATGTCATAGTCTAAATGAGCAGTGGATGCGTTCCCAGTAAGGCAGGAAGAAATACAGTACAACCTTTCTTTGGCAATGCCCTGTGTGTTTTAGAAAGCACCGGCAGGCAGAACCATGAGCTGGGCTCTCGTTCTGGTGTCAGTTAACTCCACTTGCTAGTTCCCAGCATGATCTTTGGGTTTGTTGGTTGAATCTGAGTCCAAAGAGCTTTCCTCTCCCTGGCAGCCACGTACATTGTGAGCCAGAGATGCGGATACTAATTTACTCCTAACCTGGCTGCAGCGTGCCCCGTGATGTGGTGTCAATCATAGCCCCATTAGACACTTCTTCGTGCCAGCCTCGAGTGACTGCTGCAAAGCTGTTGGCTGCCTTTCAGCTCCTGTCAGAGCCATATGTTGGATATCCAGGTTCTTTATGTGGGACCTGTCGAAGGTTCTTACAGAACAGATGTTCGTGTTGAGCAATATGCTTGAGAGAATTTTCCAAAGCTCCTCATTTGCCAGGACTCTTGGCTCAGGTTTTTCAATGCTGATTGTGCTCTTTGCACTGATGGCCTCTGTTGGGGAGTGGGGAGCTCAGATGGAAGTGAACTTGCAGCATTTGTCTGTCTTCCATAAACACCACTGTCCCTACTTTCAGATTTCACACCAAACCATGGTGGTATATCATGAATAAGGCATCTAAGTGCTGGGTGGAGATTGGAAGGTAAAGACAGTCCCTGCCTGCAGACTTGCAATCTAAAAGACACAGTACAAAAGAGGTAGAAGCAAGCAAATTGAGGCAACCTGTTCTGAAAGTAACAAACGTTAGCCAGTAGCATCCGTTCTGGACAGGTAGACCTCCCTGCCTTTATACTCAAATGCACAAACAAGTAGCCCTTGAACCCCTAGCAGATGATAAAGGTCCAAGTTGGCTTCAGCTCTCAAACCAGGGTTTGCAAATGGCTACCAAATTAAGATATCAAGTCATGTTTTGAAGCTGGTTTGCAAATGCTGGTTTGCATGAACTGTGGTTTTCCATTCTATTTGAATTCACAAAGCATTGACAAACCACATTTATGACCCATGGTCTGTCTCGAGAGGCTACTGCATCATGGAGAGAGAGGTGTGAACTGAACAAAGATGCATTCTGAGCAGAGAAAATGAAACCAGACAAGGAGCTCTCCAAGTAATGGTTTGCCTATTGTAAATTTAGAAGCTCAACCCATGAAGTGGGTTTTTAACCACCGTAGGTGTAGTACAGCCATGTACCTCCTTGTTTTGCTGACTACCTCTTTGTACTGATAACTGGTCCATTTATTTATTTTTTGATAGATGATTCCATTGATTAAGATGAAGATGATACTAGCCATGTTTGAATAAGATAGGCACAACATTTTTGCTTACATATGCAGCCCCACCTCTCCTCCCCTTGATACTTGTAGGAATCAAACCAGGAAGTAATTTGAATCAAGAAGCCCTGGTTACTGGATTTGGAACAAACCAGGATATTAACTCTCCAAGGCACAGTTTGACTACAACTCCCTTCATCCCTGACCATTGGTTATGGTGGGTAGAGGTCTGTGGAGTTCAACAACATCTGGAGGGCCACCTCTGATCTAATGGTTCATTTTCACACTACACGTTCCAGTTTCTTTTTTCCTGTTCAACACATTCTTAGATTTAGCTTCTGGGCAGGCATCTTCTAAACTGATACAGAGGATATTTCTTTACCTACTACCATGAGGAATTTTGAATTTAACAGGTGATCCATTAAATCGAGGGTGGCCCTCTAGATGTTGTTGGGAGTTGAAGTCAAACCCCTTTCTTTGAGACGTAATACTTTGTGTTTGATACAGCTCTGACAAACTTGAAAAGTCTGGAAGAAAGGGATTCCACATTCCCTGGGAATTTTAATTCATCGCAGAGCTCTCCTTAACAGTTAAGAAGGTTATATGCATACATGCATATCTTTATCTATCTATGTAAATCTGCTTTGTAATTTACTCATTTTCTCCTGTTCACTAGAGCAACATTTGAGAACAATTGTTACCCCTCTTCCTCTGAGATTCTTAAATACTGAACACCCAAGCCACTTTCCTTAACCTTCTTTTGTGTTCTCAGGCTTTCTGCTTAAGTAGTCTGAAAAGACTGTAAAAGGAAAATGGCTTCATTTCTTTTCAGTGTTCTTTCTAGCGCTTTCTCGTAGCTGAAACATTTTCAAGTTCTCAACGCCTTTGTTAAACTGTGATCCATTATGGTGAACACAGCACTCCAAATGAAGCCTTAACATTGACAAATGGAGTGAAGCCGAGTTCTTGAGGTGTGGAAACCATGTTCCTGTTAATGCAGGCTAGCATAGCGTTGGCCTTTTGAGCCAATGCACCATATTGTTGGCTTGTGTCTCTGTGCAAGTTTTTGTTTCCAGGAAAGTATAAAATGCAAAGTAGTAGCAAAGAAATCAGTATGTCTTAACCATTTGCAGCTGGAATGAAAATAAATAAAAATGCTTCTTCTGCTCCTGTTTAAGATGTTATTCCGAGTTCTGAAACCAGTTTCTAAGATACTGAACATTTTTTATTTATAGTCACCTCTATAGCTGTATTCTTTGTGTACAAATTCTTAAATAAGGCAGTTCTCTATTTAGAATTAATAAACTGTTGTGTAAACCATAGTGCAGAATATTATAAAACTTGAACATTATTGGGTTTTAGAAATAGTGATTTAGAATGCTCTTAGTGCTCCCTACAACTGCAGCTCAGTAATATTATCCCCATATTTCATATTGGGGGTGGTAGTGGTTAAAACTAAGCATGGAATTCAAAGTAGCACTAAGGAGATTCACTCACTCCATGCTAGCATTTCTGCTTGTCTCCCTCCTCCCTCCACAACCTGTTCTACCAGTTCCGCAAACACTCCAGAGCTGATCTGGTGGGCAGGGGAATCCCTGCTGCACTAGTGGGACTCGTTGTGCTGGCTCCTGCTAGCACAACAATTTAATTGAATCTGGTCCAAAGAGACTGGTTTACCTGAGATCACCTGGAAAGTTTGTGGCCGGGCTATGATTTGAACCAGGGCATCCTAGTTCATGCTTTGCCACTATTTTACACCGGCATGCAATTTTGTTCACTTGAAGAAGGCTTCATATGATCCAGGCTTCTACCAGAGCTGGACCCTAAAACTCATGAAGAAGCAAGTGAATGCGCAGAAACCCTTTTCCTTACTAAATGCAGAGCCAATAAATCCGTTAATTAACCACTGCCTCCACTTTCTGAATTAAGGGAAAGAGATTCTGGATAGGGGTGGACTCTTGAGATTAAGGGCTGCTCCACTTGTGTGTGCACCTCTATGTATGTAATGTGTGTATAAAGTGTTAAGGAATGTGGCACACATCCCCTGCACACTTGGAGATGCAGTAGACACGCACTAGGGAACCGGGAGCATCTGTGGCTCCCTGTCAAGTGTTCATGGAGCGTTTGGAGATGCGCAGCATCGCTTCCCACCTCCTATGTGTTACTTGTTTCCATGACAAATGCTGCTACACTGCAGCAGCCACATAGGGCATGTGAGGCCTGTCTGAGCTTTACATTCCTACTGCCACGGGGCTTGTTAATTTAGGATTGTTACCTTCACTCGGGTTATTGATATGCTGCACCCCAGCTTTGGGGTCCCAGAATAATGTAGAAAGTGTAGGTCCATAGAGCACAGGGGACTTGGAGTCATACCCTGCGATTTATTTGCACTCCTGGGGGTCTTTGTCCCCATAGTCAGGACATTCTTCCATACATCATGCCAGAGGACTAGCTGAGAGATGGGACCCCAGAGCGCTGGGTGCATATTGCACAAAGTGCCATGTGGTCCCTGTCTCATGGGTTAGTGGAATAAGCTATGAGTGTGCATCATCTGTTCACCAATGTCATTCCTTGGCCAATGATGCTGCAGGGAGAAAACAGCCTTGATTATTTTGTGGCCTAGTTCTTACAGACAATAAATGTGGCAGTAAAGCTTGCAGTGGACTGAAGTACTTCAGGCTACAGTTGGGCTCACATGATGAAATTCTTGCTCCTTCATTAAAAAAAAAGTTAATACATGTCAACCATACATAGCATGTTGGAGGTAATATTCCTGGGCATGCTAGCTTTCTCTGTGTAAGGTTTTACCATTTTATTTTGCAAGGAGGGAACATTCCATCATTTGATTTCCTTGTCTTCAGTCTGACATAGTTTTCCTCTTTGCCTACGGTTTGCCAGAGCCCACAACTTAACTTTAACCTTGGATTTGCCTGTATAAACAGTTGTGATTGAGTGTATTATTTATTAATTAAATTTATGCACTGCCCTTCCTCCAAGGATTACATAACATAATAACAAACAAAACAATAATGCGCCCCAAACACACACAGTTTAAAAGGCCATAGAAAGGTTTCAGAGAAGAGGAATGTTTTTGCCTGGCTCCTAAAGATATATGAAGAAGGTGCCAGGCGAGCCTTCCTAGGGAGAGTATGCCACAAACCGGCAGCCACTGCAGAAAAGGCCCAGACCTCTTGTGGTCATCAGATGATTGCCATATCTGGGTCGGTTCATATAGGAAGAGATGGTCCTTGAAGTATTGTGGCCCTGACCCTTTTAAATGATGCTGAATGCCTAAAGGATGGTGGTACAACTTTTTCCTCCTCTGAAGCCCCATTTAGAGGTTATACTCAATGCAAAAGAGCAATGCACGAGAGCGAGGTTGCACTGAATAGGCTTGGCTCCTATGTTGCACACCAGCTAGTTCCTACCTTTTGGCATCCATGTACGCAGCACAAATATCTGAAGAAGGGAGCCTCCTGTGCAAAGAGGTGGATGCCAGGGGTGTGTGGATGCCATGTCAGTGTTGGTGTGTATTATGTCAGGCAGTGGGGCTCCTTAGCATAGTCCTACTTACACATTAGTCCCACAAGTGAGTGTAACTGCTGAGCAGTGCTTGGAAAGTTCGTTTTAAAAATAAATTGGTTCCACTTTACCTCCTCTAAAAAGGAATTGGTTCCCATTCCAGTTCCCCTCCTCCAGAAAGGAACTAGCTTCATTCCCACCCATTTCATAGATAGTCCATTTAGTCCTTTGCATTTTTTTTCAGCCTATGGAATTTTACAAACTGTTCTGCTAAAGTCTAAAATATACTTCAGACAAGTAAAAAAAACACTCCGTAATGCGATCAATTGTTTTATTTATTTCCCCCCAACAATTAGAATTTTTAAGCTTAAACAGTAGCATCACTTTTCATAGAGGTATACAAATGGTAATTGCAATGAAACTCTTACATATCTAGATTTACAGTACATAAAATTATTTACTCTCTAGGCTCATTGCTTTTTTTTCTGGGGGGGACGCATACCTCTAAACATTTTGTGAATCTTTGTACTTTTGTCCATTTACTGTATTTATTTTTCCCAATTTGAACTATAAAATGGTGATTTTCTTGAGTCAAAGTGAGAGTACCCCTAAACATTTTTTAAAGAAAAAAGCACTGTCTAGACTTATTACAAAATTTATCAAATGCATACCTAGTATACCACCTACCACCCTTTAATCCACTCTACAGGGAGGCTTACCAGTAGTAGGCCACAAGGCAACTGAGAATCTACTCCAACCTTAAAGGGCTAGAAACAGCAGTCACATCTGCACCATACACTGAAAGCCACTTATATCACTTTAACAGTCATTGTTGCACCTCAAAGAATCCTGGGAAATGTAGTTCATTAAGGGTGCTAGGAATTGTATTCAGTACCCTTAACAAACATCATTTCCCAGGATTCTTTGGGAGGAAGCTATGACTCTTAAAGTGGTATTAGAGTGCTTTCAGTGTGCTGCTGGCATAGAATGATCATTTGCTTCTTAGCCACTGCACTAACTACTAACCTGAGTCTAGCTTCATTCTGCAGGAACATCTGACCAGCAACAGCCAAAGGTTTTGGTCCCAGACTCAACAAGGTGCCCTTAAACCACTGTGGGTTCCTGCCCATTGAAATAATTGAACCAAATTTTAAGATGCCCGAAGTGCTACTTGATAATTAAGTGTGCAAACTTGAAAATTACAACCGCAGAGATTGCAACCGCGGAGATCTGTGTAAATTAAAAGCTTTTGTATGATTTCCATAAGACATTTCAGTCTGAAATAGGGCATCACATCAATTTTCTCTCTCTCATTCACCATGACAGCTCTCTTTATTTCACAAATAAACAGAGAGGAAACAGTATGAGCTAAGGACAGTAGAGTATAGAGTGCAAACCAAGAATGAAAAACAAAGAAGTTTGTGATTTGCTTGAGATCATCACATAATCATCCAGTGGGGAAGTTCAGCTTTCGATAACATCCTGCCCAGAATCCTTCTCTGTTAGGTTTTACTACTATCTCCAGCCTTTTCTCAAAAGAATAGGACAGTTTTCCTAAATACTGTTGGTCATTTCCTGTTTTACATATTTAAGAGTCTCCAGTCTTTTAGCTGATTAAAATAAACCTTGTAGTGTGAAGTTGCCAAAGTTTGTTCCGCCCTAGAATTTTGATTTAAATGGGAGCTTTTTTTAATTATTCAGAGGGCGTCAATATTAATTGGAGTAGATTTTTAATCCATGGAACTGTAAGCAAAGGGTGCACTTTTTAATTTTGTGAGACCGCTTTGATTCAGGTATGTTACTGTATTAGGTGATGGAAAAGAAAATATTAAAAATGGCCTTCCCTCCTAACAGTGAGTGGTAGGCTTTTTGAATGAAATCATAGTGTATGTTATCTCTCAAGTGCTTCGACTTTCAAAATGGCACCTGTAGTGCTGTACTGATAATATTAAAAGGCAGTCAACTGATCAAGTGCATTGCTGAATGGCAGGCAGCCGCAAGTTAAACCATCCCACCTACCTCACAGCAGACATGCATTTAGCCACACTCCTTTCTTGAGCTAGCGCTGCTCCCTTTGACTCTGCAAAAAGGGCTCTCCTCTCCTGCTGGGGTCCAAAATTAACTGGAGCTGAAAAGACTTGGAAGAGCCTGTTTCAATGAGATTCCTTTAATGCCGCTAGGCTGGTTGCGGTGAATGGCGCTTTCCTTTCAGGTTTGATGGGGGAAGCGGAGGGGTCTCTTTATGTGAAGACAGTCCATCATCACTGCCGACACTAATTGCTTAGAGCTAGATTTAACTTTCAGACCTTTGATGGGTAAGAAACTGTTTAAGAGCTGTTACGCTTTTGAGAGTCTGCAGAGTCTTTTCGTGAAGCTGCAATTAGTGTTGATGACAATGTGCGTTTCAAAGACTCAGGGTGGGCTGCCTGGGAGAATCTCCCATCTCTCCTTCCCTGACTGCCATTGCCAGTTAGTCGCCTGCTGCCATCTCCATTACCCTAATGTGACTCATACGCTGTTTGCTGCTGGGCTGCCACAGCATTGGTGCCTTCCTGCTGTTCAGTGATGTCTCCCACCCCCACCCCCACCCTGAAGCTGGAATGGTGGTGTTTGGGAGAGGTATTGGTCTGAGGGTAAAGACAAAAGCTTGTGGCCCTCCATCTACAGCAATTAATACTTTAAGCTCCAAATAGCTGGCAGGGCTATTACACATTATTGCCATAGAGCATCTCTGTGCAGTTTAATCCCAGACATCTTCAGATAGGGCTAGTTAGAGGTCCCTGTCTGAAATCTTGGAGAGCTGCTGCCGGTCAGTGCGAACATTACTGAACTTGATTGACCAATAGTCTGCCTCTATATAAGGCAGCGTCTGACACTCCTATGTTGCTTCTTGAATCAATAATACCGTTGCTCCTTCACGCGATACCAAACTTATTCCAGTTTTACTCATTGTTCCAGGGCCAGTCCTACCATTAGGCAAGGCAGCCTCCTCAGGTGCTTTCCTCAGCTATTCGCCCCGAACCCCCTCCCCAGCCATATTCTTCTGTAGCCGCACACCCTGTCCTGACCTTCAAGTGCACCATCTTGCCTTTCACAACAGGTAACAAAATACCTTGGCCCAGCCCTGTAAATTAGGTTGCAGGACCTCACCACAGTGGCCTCACTGACAGCTGCAGGAAAGAGTGTTTGGCCCTTTCCTTCATCATTGTTTTCCTGTTTGCCCTACAGCAGGGGGAAACAGAAGTAGTGTACCTATTTTTTCCTAAGAAAAGCAAAAGGTGGCTGGGGCCGGAGCTGATTTAGATAAGCAAAACAGCAGAGGAGGGCAAAATTGAAGTTCCTTTCTTCCTACATCACTGCGTAGATCAAATTTGAAGATCCCTATGTGGTCGCGTCTAAGTAAAAATAAAATGGAAGATCCTATCATGGCTCTCCCATCTAACCGCTTGGAAAGTTTGAAAATTATGGATGTCTAGAAACCTTGCATTTTAGCTACCGAAACGTGCTTTCTAAAAAACATTTTATCCTAATGGACTTTCCAGATTTAAAATGTCGCCTTCTTAGGTTAGAGGGTAACTAAGACTATGGAGGAGGGCAGCTTATTTAAATGAATAAAGGTAAAGGACCCCTGACAGTTAAGTCCAGTCGCGAACGACTCTGGGGTTGCAGCGCTCATCTCGCTCTATAGGCCGTGGGAGCCGACGTTTGTCCGCAGACAGTTTTTCCGGGTCATGTGGCCAGCATGACTAAGCCTCTTCTGGCGAAACCAGAGCAGCGCACGGAAACACCGTTTACCTTCCCGGCGGAGCGTACCTATGTATCTACTTGCACTTTGATGTGCTTTCGAACTGTTGGCAGGAGCTGGGACCAAACAACGGGAACTCACCCCGTCGCGGGGATTTGAACTTGAACTGCTCGTGGTTTACACTACAACAACACCCGCTTCCCATTTAAAGGAATAGCTCAATGCATTTCCTCCTGCAAGGATTTTATTTTTTGAAATGGAGGCTAATCCATTCCAAAACTAACTCCCATGGGGCTGCGAACTCACAAATCCTGCTCTGAATTTAGATTGCAGAGTTCGGTGCCTGCCTATCTGCATCCCAAAGCAGCTGCCCTTCCTGGGCTCAGAGCCCTCAATTCCTTGAACCAGAGAACTAGGCCAGTTGCTCAGCAGTAGCTCTTAACACTGTAGGAGGTTTGAATGGCTTGTCCTTGGCTTTTCAAAAGAATCATGGGTGAAGCGTAACCTCCTGTTCAACACTGCCAGCCAAAGCATCTCTTGCTAGGGACGTTCTGTGATATCCATTAGCAAGGCAGCCACCACTGAGGCAGAGAGTGGCCAGTTTTGTATTCCTCTGCTGCCTTTTAATGGATTTGACAATTGTATCCTGGCATCAGAGAAACCACGGAACGCTTGCACAGATGGATGGAGCAAGGGGGGGTGGGGAGCAATAGGTCTTGATTGACAAGGAATGTCAATTTCTGGCTTGAATCCTGCCCTTAAAAAGTAGGAAGAATTTGGAACTCTATTTTAAAAAACAATTCCAATTCTGTAACTACAAAATCAATTGCTATTAAAAATGTACAGTGGTACCTCAGGTTACATACGCTTCAAGTTACATATGCTTCAGGTTACAGACTCTGCTAACCCAGAAATAGTACCTCGGGTTAAGAACTTTGCTTCAGGATGAGAACAGAAATCGTGCCCCAGTGGTGTGGCGGCAGCAGGAGGCCCCATTAGCTAAAGTTGTGCTTCAGGTCAAGAACAGTTTCAGGTTAAGAACGGACCTCCGGAACCAATTAAGTACCGTATTTTTCGCCCTATAGGACGCAATTTTTCCCCTCCAAAAATGAAGGGGAAATGTGTGTGCATCCTATGGGGCGAATGCAGGCTTTCGCTGAAGCCTGGAGAGCAAGAAGGGTTGGTGCGCACCGACCCCTCTTGCTCTCCAGGCTTCAGGAAGCTATCCGCTAGCCGTGGGAGACGCAGCTCTCCCACGGCTAGCGGAGAGCTTGCCTGCACCCAGAAGCTTGGGGCGCGCTGAGCTCAGCGGATAGCAGCCTGTTCTGGGGGTTGGGGTCGGGGGAAGCTCGGGCTTCCCCCGACCCAGCCCCGCACCTGGGGGGGAAATAAAATTTTTTTTCTTTATTTCACCCCCAAAAAACTAGGTGCGTCCTATGGGCCGGTGTGTCCTATGGGGCGAAAAATACAGTACTTAACCCAAGGTACCACTGTATAAGGATGCAGTATCGTTTCAGTATGGCGTTTCAACATATTGGTTTGTTTGGATATATTTTTTGGGAGAAGGGGGTACTATAGAATTTGGTTTCAACTACCATTGGCCTACATTCCCACCCCACTCCCAGGCATGAAATGGAAAATTGGAACTTAGAATGTGGAAGGGAAAGTGACCAGCCCTGTTGAGAATCAGAACTGGGCAGTGCTGCTGAAGATAATATCTGTTTTTAGAACCATAACATGAGAAGGGTTTATATAGAAAGAGGAGTGAAAAAAGGAAGATTATACCTGCCTCATTCATCTCTAAAGAAAGACCTATGCACTCCAGAGTTATTTCTGTAAAACTTGATCTATGTACAGCTCTTTGTCTTTTGTCAGGTACTTCCAGAAACTTATGTAACTCCAGGAGTTCTCATGAGCCTTAAAAAAAAAAAAAAATCACTTGAGATTAGACTTTATGCCTTTAGCAGGAACTGACCATAGCATTTCAGATTTTGCTTTGTAATCATGACTCATCAAGGCTCAGGCTGGAAACCTGTCATAAATGCCATACTACAATCCTGGAATATGTGAAGTAATAAAAAAGAGAGCCCCTGAACACCTACAGTGTGTTTCCCCAATAACATTGAGCCCAGCCCATATGCAACTGAAATTTAGGAGGGTCAGATGGTGAGAGTTGTAGGTTCTCTGTCTTTTATTGGAAATAAAAGTTCAGATTCTCCGGATTCCATGGCTGTTGTTTGAAAGAGCGAATATACACAGATGCCATCCTGACCCTTGGTCCATATTCCCCCTATCAGCAGCCGAGGCTTGTCTCACTTTTCTTCATTACCAGTGTGGGAGAGATGACAAGCGCAGAATTAGTGGGTTAAAGAGATTTGCAAGTTGGCAGCAGAGCTGTCCCTGTGAACTTGTTGTGCACTCCATTCTGTCCACCTTTTGAGTTGGAGCTTCCGTCATGGTGATGATGGAATTGGTTTGACCAGTGCTGGTACAAAATGCTCTAGGAAGCCGTATTGTTGTGTGCCTTAGGGTGACCTTGGTCACAGGTAGGACCGTGTGAGTTCTGCGTGTCACAGTGAACCTGGACCTGGAGGGTACATGTTTGAGGAGCTGGCATTTCAACATCACAGTGCTCCATATCTGGGGTCCCTGTAAAAAGGGTGAAAAACCGTTTGGGCTCCACAGGCCAGATCCCCATCAGGCTTGGTCTGGTGAGCCCACCTGTCAATCACCTGACATCACAACAACATCAGGTGTAAGATGCTTTGGAGTTAGGGCTTTATAAGGTGTGTCCCCCCAATTTTATAAGGGGATTCCAGTGCAGACCTCTTCTTGATTCAAGAATCCCTTGCTAAAAGAGAGGAAAAACCACCTTCATTTTAGCAGGGGTTTCCCTGCCTGAGCTTAGTTAATGGATGCAGAAAGATTGGTGCAGCCCAGCAACTGAACAGAGGTATTCCAATAAACAGGAATGCAGGCACATTTCAGGGGAGACTGAGCCCAGTTAATGTCTTGCACCCTTTGTGTGCCCCACTTTAAGTCCCGCAAGACTTTGAGTTGTCTCCCCCAGGGGCATTAAGTGCCATTCTTGCTGTCTCACCTAGTCAGGATGCAGTTGCATGGTCTCTGGCTGCTCAGCTTCCAGCTCTGACCTTGGGATTAGCCAATTGTAGCTTCAGCACTCGGATACCACCTGAGTCTCAGCCCTCCCTTTTCAAAATCGCCTCCCTTTTGCTCCTCCCTTTCTCTATATACAGTGACTCCACCCCACTTCCATCTCACACCTAGCTTTTAACCCCCTCTTATCCTCCTTACTGGCCTGCGTCCTCCACCTTTCCCTTGACTCAGGGTTTTCCTTCAGGATCATGCTGTAACTCTGGATCAGACTTCTGGGTGGCTCTCTCAGCTGGCAGCTCATATATGCTTTTTTAAAAAGCAAAGAAGACAGATATTCCGCATTTGGCATTAAGCATTTCATCAGGCTGTGGCAAAAGCAGAGATGGGAAGCAGGGCACCTCATTGCTCTTCTGAGAGACCAGCTCCTTTTGGCTCCTCTCCCAGAACTGTTTCCATCCCAGCTGGTCAGTTGCAATGATTAAACCCCCCCCCCATTTTGTATACTGCCCTTTATCCAAAGATCCCAGGGTGGTTCTATGTAACTTAAAACATAAGCACCCGAGTTTGCTTTCCCCCTGCATATAGTCTTTAAGCAACTCTGCAAGCCTTTGCAGCTGAAAAGAGCCAGTGTGGTGTAGCCTTTCTCAACCTTGCGTCCCCAGGTGTTGTTGAACTACAATTCCCATCATCCCTGACCCATCATCCCTCCAGATGTTTTTGGCCTACAACTCCCATGATCCCTAGGCTAGCAGGACCAGTGGTCAGGGATGATGGGAATTGTAGTCTCAAAACATCTGGAGGGCTGAGGTTGAGGAAGCCTGGGTTAGAGTGTCAGACTAGGACCTGGGAGAAACTAGGGTCTGAATCTCCGCTCGGCCATGAAGCTCACTGGGGGGCTTTGAGCCAGTTACTCACTCTCAGCCTAACATACCTCACAGGGTTGTTGTGGGGATTAAATGAGGCGGGAGACCCCTGTAAGACACCTTGAACTCCTTGGAGGAAAAGGTGAGATGTAAATAAATAAGAGTGGGGTAGCTATTAAAAAATAAATAAACCCCTAGGCCTTGCTCTCTCCCCAAAGCCTGCTTCCCTTTGTTTTTCAGAAGAAGATGTGGAAAATTTTGATGTTACAAACCTGTCTCAGGATGTGATGCGGAGCATTGAAGCAGACAGCTTTTGGTGTATGAGCAAACTGCTAGATGGGATACAGGTAAGGAGTTTCCTCTTAGGCAGCACTTATTTTGCCTCTCTGCATCTCTCCGTACTTTGCATTCCCCATCATCTCAGTACTAATCATCCCGATCATGTTTCCTTCTCCCACACTTCAGGAGGAGCATCCAAACATGACTTTTACATTTGTATAGTAACCTAGTTTCTATACACACTCACACAACCCCCCATCCTCCATCCAGGGAAGCAACAAGTATTATTGCTTAGGGATTATTAGGGATGCATCCAGGCCAGACAAAAACACTCAAAGAGGGTCCGCCATAGGGCCAGTGAGGGGTGTGGTCTGGGGAGAACCTCAAGGGCCTCATAGAGGTCTGAAGGGCCATATTTGAGCCCTGGTCCCGAGATCCCCCATCCCTGTTTTAAACCTTCCTTCCTTGGCCTACTTCTCAGTAGTGCCCAAGACACCTCCCTTTATTTCTCCTTTATTTTCATTGAGGATTCCCCCTTCCCAGTAAGCTTCAAGCTAAAGGCTCCTGCTTCCTTTTCCTATTTATACATTCATCCAAATGAAATTTTGCTCTGTGAGCTCTGTGTCATTTTCCTCAAGCTCTCACAAACGTTGGCATAGATTTCCTCCTTCATATGATTGGACATGTTTCCACCTCAAAATGGCTTTTTCTGAAGCTGTAATGGTTCCCTTTCTTTGTAGATCTAGAGGTCGCTTGCCAACAGAAAAGAGCTTCCTCACTTTCTGATGAGGAATGGAGCTTTCCAGGCAGACTTGCCCCCAAACCAAATCAGCCTTGCCTCTCTCATTCTCCTTGCTTTTATCTTGCTGTATTACTTCAACAAACTCCTGAGAAAATGGGCTTGTTACTGGAGAGAAAAATGGTTGTCACTGCCCCCCCCACTCTTTTATTTTTCCTCCTTCAGGAACCACTGCTACCATCCAAATGGTGATTTATAGCACCTGTGTTTCCTAGCTGAGGAAAAGTTGCAGGTCTAAGGTCCCAGGTTCCACCTCTTGGCATTTCTTGTTGCCCTCAGAAGGCATTTCCACCATGGACGACACTGGGCTAAGAGAAACAATGGCACATGTATCTGCTGGACTTGCTCCTCTTAAACTCACCATGTGTTTTGCTGCAGGACAATTACACGTTTGCACAGCCGGGGATCCAAAAGAAAGTCAAAGCACTGGAGGAACTTGTCAGCCGTATCGATGGTAGGTGAAATTCAAGCTACCAGAGGGGAAGTCGAACTTGCCAAGTTCTTAATTGTTCACATCTCCAACTGAGTTGCAACGGTTGTGGGCTCACCTCGGTGTTGAGGGCGGAATGCACGAAGCGGAAAGCAGGCTTCTGGAAGCTTCTTTAACCAGGCGGCAGCGCTAGGTAGTAGTCAGACCAGGGGGTCAAATCTGTTAGCTTGATGCCATTAAGGGGTGTTGGAAATGGGACACTGCTGGGGAAAGGGGGTGGGTGAGAGGCCATGAGCCGAGAGGCACACAAGAGAATATGTGATTCATCAGAAGAAGGGGGCTGAAGCATCTGAACGGTGCCTGCGGGAGGCATTTGGCGTGGGCTTGTTATGTGGGAGGGATTTGGTTGGATGGAACAGAGACTGTGGCTGAAAGTGGAGCTTCCTGAGACGCGGCGTATGAGCCACACTCCATATTCAGCCGTGTAAATGGCATGTGCTGTTTCAGAGCAGGTACACAATCACTTTAGGAAGTATGAAGTGGAATACCTGCAGTTCGCCTTCCGCTGGATGAACAACTTACTGATGCGGGAGCTTCCTCTTCGCTGCACCATCCGCCTTTGGGACACTTACCAGGTACAGGTGGCTTGGCTTGTTTACTGTCCAGCCTTGTGGTTGGAGAATGGTGCTCAGTAGGGATTCTCCCAGAAAAAGTCTTATATGGGAGCAGGCACTACAAACCGGCTTTTGTGTGGCAGCATACTCATGTGAAGACATAAAAGAGTTCTTTCACATCCATACAGCCCCATAAAACTGGGGAGAAGCCGTGATAAAAATAAACCCATGCTAATTCCATTCTTTTTAACCCCAAGTGTCTTTTTTCCAGTCTGAGCCAGAGGGATTCTCTCATTTCCATTTATATGTCTGCGCTGCATTCTTGATTAAGTGGAGGAAAGAGATCTTGGATGAAGAGGACTTCCAGGTAAATCTTCAGAAGGCAGCTACATTTGGGAAAGGATGCCGCATAATTATCCTGCTTGAGGATGTATCTGTCTAGAGTAAGGCAACAGATGGCAGCATGAGCAACGATATCTCTGGCATGTGATTAGGGGCATGAAATTCCCCAATCCAGAGATCCAGGCTTTTTAAAAAAAATGCTTTCCCTGACTGGGGATCTAGTAAACTTAGGGCGTCACCTGTTACAGGAAGTCCCAAGTATTCTGTGTTTGGATATTTGAAATATATTACATTCTCCCCTGCCTGTTGTCAAAATCACCACTTTTTCTTTTCCCCCTAAAGTGAAAATCAGTAAATCAGTAGCTGTGATTCATACTTAATTGAAACAAGACTGCACAGATATAGGTTTCTGCCATAGCTGTAGAGATCTCAACACGTGAAACCACAAAAGAACAAAAAGGGCTTTTGCTTTTTAAAACAAACAAACAAACAAACAAACAAACAAACAAACACAAAAAACCAAGAGCCACATCTTGCTTCTCTCTGTGTACCCAAGTTTCTGTCTTAATTCCAGGGCCTTCTAATGTTGCTACAAAACCTTCCCACGATACACTGGGGCAACGAAGAGATTGGACTCCTCCTCGCCGAAGCCTACAGACTCAAGTACATGTTTGCAGATGCGCCCAATCACTACCGCCGATAGGGGCCAGGGATCCGCCTCTGCTCCCCATCATGCTGGCCCGATCCCAATCACTGTGGCATTGCATCACCCGAGTCCTCGGAGCCACTGACCAGGAGCCACTCTGCTGTAAAAAGCTCACATTGGACCTCTGTCTTAACTTTTGCGTGTGCCTGCCTACCACTCTGTGTGTGGATGTGCCACTCAAACTACCATTTGTGTCCTGTGCTGTGACGGTGACCTGAGCCCAGGGTGCAGGGTGGGCGGGCAGGGGCTGTAAGAATAAACTGAGCCTCTGACTGCCTTTCCAAGCTCCAGCGTGGGTCATCTAAGCCTTGCAGCCTCTTGTTAACCCGCCTAAGCACAGACACACTCACACACTCCCAGCTGGGCCTGTGTTCTTCTTCTCCTTCTTCAGATGCTGTTCAATCAAAGTCCCCAATGAAGATGCCTTACAAAGAGTCCTGCCCAGGGGATGGCAGCGCCGTTGGACACAAGAAGCTCTCAGGGCTTAGCTTCACTCCACATGTCTGAAGAAGTGCACCATTTCAAAAGGTTAACAAGAGACACACACACACACTCGCGTAACACTCCGCTCCTGCGCAATCGCGCCTCTCTGCATACGGGGGCTCGTATGTGTTCCAAGGCTGTCTTGTCCACGCACAGTTGGGAATGACACAAGTGATAGGACGCCTCCTGTGATTGACTTGATTGATTGACTTGATTGATTGAGTGATTGATTGATTGATTGATTGATCTACTGTGTGTGTTGAACCGGAGGGCGTAAGGGTGGGGGAGCTGTGCTTCGAAAAGGAAATCCTTTCTGTGACAATGACATTCCTCCAAGGCATTATGTGTATATTGTGTTCTTGTGTATATGGGTAAAAGATGTACAATATAAGTCTTCTGTTTGTAGCAGATATGATTTTATATTTATAACGTGCGTCCCAAGCGTATAAAGGCTGCCTAGGTTGCAAATAACAGTGGGCCTGCTGCGTCCCCCGGTCACCAGGGTGTCAGAGCTGTCAGCACATCTGCACTAGCTCATTTCCACCCCAACCCCCGATATAAGCATTTTGTTTCTGTCCAGAAAACTTGACTCCAAAGTGAAGCAGCATTGCACGACATCCAGTGCCAAGGAAGTGAAGGGTTTGAAGAGAGAGGCACGTTCTGCTGGAACAGGCACCTTGGACCAGGTGGAAGTTGACCTGAAGGGCACCCACCTTACCCCCTCCACACTCCAGCATGCCCTTATAACAAGCATGGCAGCCCTCTGCTCTCAAGTAGTGCAGCAGCAGCAGCAGAGACCAGTCTTGTACATTGCTGTAGCAAGTCTCCCTTGCACATTGCTGTAGCGAGGAAAAGGGTCCTCGCCAGCACCTCCTGGCTTTCCTTCTTCCAGCCCTAGCGAGAATCTAGTCCTTTGCTTGAGCAGCGGGGAAGACAGATGGGCATCTTGCTGCAAGGCTTCCGAACTGTTCAGAGGAGGTAGGAGATGGCTTCTCTCCTAAGCTCCCTTCCTCTATCTCTCCCCCACCATTGTCTCATTGTGATTTTCATTGGGAAAATGGAGAATGTTTTTCATTTTAACTGTTTCTTCCAGCCAGCAGGCGCAGCCTCATTAGTGCCAAGCCTTGACCTCTTGGGGCAGATCTGCTCCCTTAGGCTGAGGTCCTCTCCTTGCGTTGGGCCAACCTTTGCTGTTCTTCTCATCAGGCTTCAGACTGCGCCCACCTCTGTTCGTTTTGTTTTGTTTTTTCCTCCTGGGCTGAGAAAGAGAAGCCGTCCAATGAAGGCACCAGAAGGCATGAGAAGGGTGAGGGCCTTTCCACCATTCAAACACCCAGCAGTGTCTCTCAAGTTGCTTCCCTAACCTGGAATTGTTTTCTCAGGCATTCTGATTTGATATTTTTTTCTTTTGTGTGTGTGCCTTTTGTTGTTTCCTCCGAGACAGCGACCTGGTGGTCATTAGTTTAACATGACTAATTAAAAGAGAAAACCATCCCTTGTTGCTGATCTTTATTCTTGGTGGGTTTGTGGATGAGGAGCGATGAGGCTTTTGAGGACTTCCTCTCATTCCTGAATCAATCTCCCATTGCTTTCCTCTTTCTTTTTGAGAGGTTCCAGTCTAATTCTGCCCTTTCTCCTGAAGCAGGAATTCCCCAATTTATGATGCTTAGTTCTGTCACCTTTTAGAACATGGGTAGGCAAACTAAGACCCGGGGGCCGGATCCAGCCCAGTCACCTTCTAAATCCAGCCTGTGGATGGTCCGGGAATCAGCGTGTTTTTACATGAGTAGAATATGTCCTTTTATTTAAAATGCGTCTCTGGGTTATTTGTGGGGCCTGCCAGGTGTTTTTACATGAGTAGAATGTGTGCTTTTATTTAAAATGCATCTCTGGGTTATTTGTGGGGCATAAGAGTTCATTCATTCCCCCCTTCAAAATATAGACCAGCCCCCCACAACATCTGAGGGACAGTGGACTGGCCCCCTGCTGAAAACGTTTCCTGACCCCTGTTTTAGAATTACTGCTTTGAGCTCAAATTCTGGGCACTCCAAAAGCACAGTCTGGATGTAGGACATAATTAGGGAGAGAATTGCGAGGAGAGTAGAAATTCAAACTGCCTTCCCTCACGGGAGTCTTGCCAGGGCGATTTGCATGCAAGGATAGCATCTTTGGGGGCCAGAGGGAAGTCTGGTTTCTCTGTCTTTGCATTAGGTCAGCATAAATTATGCCAATGAGGTGGGTATGTTGCAGAGAAGTACTCAGTATAGCCTGGGGCTTTCCAAGGGTGTGATCTGACACCTCCCTGAGCCAGTCGGCTTGGTCTTCTCAAGTGATCCTGGACCAGAGCCTAGTTTCAATAATGTTGCAGCAGCAAAAGGCCAACTGGCTCCTCAGGCAGGTCTGAGACGTTAATGCAACACGTAAAAGTGTTCTTACTAAAGACAGTTCCGGGACACTGGCGGCCTGGCTGTGGCCTCATTCAATAGGGTCTCCAAAGGGCATCTGATGGGAAGGATGAACCCCCTGATGGGTTGCCTCTTTAGCGTAGCCACTGCAGTTGGTAATGGTTCATTTCACCGTGGATTTCCTTGCTCAGAATAGCAGTTCCCATTGATCTCATTCGTGGTCAGAGATGACACAAAGTATGATTCAGCCAAACAAGAGATCTAAACATTGTTGAACAGATGAACCAGGCAAGTCATTGTTACACTGTGGCAAACCCTTCTGATTTATCACCGTTTAAAAGCCAAAAAGGCATTAGTTTCCTCCTTTGCCCAAGAGGCCTATTCCGATGAGTTCACAGCTAGAATTGGCCATCCTTCCGTTTTTCATGTGTGCTGGGGCCGGGCACAGCAGGTCACTCAAACTTTCTCTCCCCCACCCTAAGTTAATTACTATTAAAATAAAAAGTTCAGTGGAGTGGAACAAACATAATTACTTTTTGGGAGCCTAATTATCTGCATTTATTGCCAGTGCTTTGTTGTAATTGATTGCTAATGGTCTGCTTCACTCTGGAATTATCTAATTAATACCCCCACAGAAAAAATCAGGCTCCACTTTGAAATGGCTCTCCCCGCCCCACAGCAGCCCTGATTGCAATTGTTGCTGGTCGGGTGCCTCTGTTGGGATCTTTTTGTGTATACCTGGATGTATCCTTGGAGTGTTCTGAGTTTGCAGGCTTGATTGCCTTGCCAGCCTAATGGTGGTGTGTTCTATTTTCTCCTGCAAAGCAGATCCTTCTCACTTTCAACCCATTTCATTCCATATCTGTGTCATCTGTCTGCTCTTATCTTTGGTCTCACAAATTGCATTGTCTGGCGATGGTTGCCTACTCTTTTAGTCACTGTTTATCACTGTTTTGTTCCATCTTTAAGGTTGGTCTTCCCAAGCATTCAGTTTTGCTGTTCAAAGAGAAAGGAATTAGGTAAGATTGTGCGCTGCTGTTCACCTACTGAATTTCACCTAATCTGTGACCCTCCCCCAGGCACTACCAGGTCTGCCAGCTATGGGTAGTTCACATGTTTATGTATATAACTTGATTCTTCATCACTCAATGTGCAGCTGAATCTGTGAGCTGACGCCGTTGTGTTTGAGCGATGACGTGAATCTGGTTGGCAGCATCTGTGCTCATACATCTTTTCAAGTTTCCACTTGATGCTGCAATTGTCAAGTGTTGGTCATGCATGTGGGGAAAAGGGCCCACTGGATGCTGAGAAATCCCTTGCTCCGGAGTAGCAAACCATTTAATCTGAAAAATGTGTGGGTGCTTTCTGTCCCTACAGAGACAGCTATTCTGGGAAATAACTAAGAGGTTGCTTTCGCTCCAAAATAATCTTTTTCACATTGAGCCTAGAAAGGAACACTCTGTAACTTGGAGGAGAACACTGTGTAACTCAAAAGCTTGCTCACCTCATTGTGAACTCTGGTTGATCCTAAAAAATATATAGAACTTTCATTAGGAGTGTTCCATCTAAACACCCATCACACATTGAGGCAGAGTTGAGTCTCCCCTCACTGCCATCTGCCCCCCATCAGCTGTACATTTGATGAGTGTGAGATGGGACCCTAATAAGTTATGCACATAGAGCTATTCAGTGAGAAAATGGAAGACCAGTTAAATCATGTTCTTTTAATCTCATAACTGATTAGATGTCTGCCACTGCTTTCCTTTGGCATAGCGGAGCTCATTTTATAAAGAAAGGATTATTTGTACAAGGCCAGTGTCAGATAAAGAGGAAGTGAGATGAATGCTTTAGAGAGAACAATGTAATATTAATTGTTTATTTGAGAGAGTCAAAGTAGGAGCAAAGACACAGTGGCAATTTAAATTGAGTCGCTTCAGAGGAAAGAAGCACAAAGTGGGTTAAGTGCTACTAGGAAAGATCATCAGAGCAGATGACATTAGTTGTGGGTTTGACAACTCCGTATAGAGAAGAAAAGGGATTGTACCATGTAGCAGAATCGTGAGCTGAGCTGCATAGACAAGAGCATGTGGTCTAGGTCTAACACCTAATTTATCATGTTCCTATGTGGTATGCCCAAAAATGAGTTGGCCATTTCTCAAGGATCACCTCACTTAATGCCTCAGGTAATGTAAGCAGATCTGGGGCTAATTCGTGTGATGTGAGTAATGTATGGCGAATACAAGTTGAGTAGATTTTTTGTAGAGTTCAGCAGTTGGTGTTTGCTTCAGTACAGAGATCTACACCTAGATCAATACTTAGCCCATGTTTGTCTGGAAACCAGGCCTTATGAGGAACAGTTGATGGAATTGGGTATGTTTAGCCTGGAGAAGAGGAGACTGAGAGGAGATATGATAGCCATCTTCAAATATCTCAAGGGCTGTCACATAGAAGATGGAGCAAGCTTGTTTTCTCCTGCTCCAGAGGGTAGCACCCGAACCAATGATTTCAAGTTATTGGTTCTGGCTAAACATCACAAAGAACTTTCTGGTGGTAATAGCTGTTTGTTTGGGTTTTTTTTTAAATGATATTTATTGAAAAAAAAATTAGAATTACAAAAGAAAACAAAGTAGAAAAAGAGAAAGAAAAAAAAAGAAAAAACAAACCACATCAAACAATACAAATTAATAAAAATCAAAATCAAAAAATATACCACAAACATTTAAAAACAAATCCAATATTCTCAAATCCTTAACTGTCATTACCTTCTTTCTTTGACCTCCTCCTCCTCCCTTTTTTTGTATCCTAGTTGTTAATTGTCGCAGCAAATCCTTTCCATATTTCATAATATTCTGTCATTACATTACCTTAATCTATTTTAATCTTATCTTACTATAAAAAAACCTTAAAACTTAAAACTTAAGTCTTATTTTTACCAATTTCTCATAACCATAATATTCTTACATAATTCTTTAAATATTTTTGCTAAAGCCAAATAATTTCGTTCCAACATTTTTCTAACATTCATCAATTTTATAAAAGAATCCTAATAAAAAAAATAAAAAAAACAATCCAATCTTCATCCAGCGTCTCTTCCTCCTGGTCCCGGGTTTTGTCAGTCCTCTCTATCCCATCAGTCTAGCGCATTAACCTGGTAATCTTATATCCGAGGCCCTTAAGTCCCTTCCATGTCCCTTCCGCGGCTCTTCTTCATATTTATAGCTGTATTTTCCTTTGTCTCCTGCTCCTTTCACTCGTGGGAACTCCAGCTTAACAATGTTTTTGACCCTTCTCGACAAATCAGCCCCTTTTCCATAGTCCACACTAAACTCCATGTGGTATTTAAGAACATGTTTCAAAGTCCCTCCAAATTTAAGAGCCCCCACAACCCCAAACATCTCACGGCCCAATACCAGACTTGAAAAATCCAAACATTCCTGCGTAGGGGGGGTCTATCCAACCCCCCATTTCCAAACCAAGCCAAACTTTATCTTTCCAAATCTGGCTTTTTCCAAGTTCATTTGTCAAATCCAAGAACTCATGTTCCTGCTGGGCCGCAGCTCCCTCCATCCCTGGCGCCCGAGGTTCAGCAACATCCTCTTCCCTCATCTGTTCTGTCAGGGCACACTCCTGATTTGATTCCTGGGTGGGCTCCATATAATTTCCCACTGCCTGTTCAAAATTTCTGATCGCATCAGTCATCAAGTCCGTCTTCTCATGTAGCTGTTCCAGTAGGGCACTTGTTTTACAGAGAGCACACAGCAGAGCTTCTGAATACATTGTCCTGCAAGGTCAGAAGTCTATTCCCACGATCGTAATCTGTAGCAGCTGCAAGCTCCCGATTCAGAATTGGTTACAGTTTCACAGGCTCCCTCTCGGGGAAAAACTTCTATTTGTTCTTTTCTTTTAAAGACAGATCTAACAACAAAGTTTCCTTTTTCGGATATTTTGTCAATATTTGTTCCTTTAAAATGCGAAAGGGAGCAATGGAATCCTGGTGGTAATAGCTGTTTGACAGTGGAACAGACGCCCTTGAAAGTTGGTGGATTCTCCTTCCTTGGGGATTTTTAAGAAGAGGTTGGATGGCCATCTGTCATGTATGATCTACTGCAGAGGGTTGGACTGGATGACCCTTGGGGTCCTTTACAATTCTACAATTTTGTGATTCTCTCTAGTTCTATCCCCTTCTCCCAAAAAAGTATTATGGGGGTGCAAAGGAGTAGTCTCCACCTTACAACATGTTCATATTTCTCCTGAAGGACACAGTGAGGTACAAAACACATGGTGATCTTTTTGTTTTATATAATACTTATTTGTGAGTTTGTGGGGTCACACAGAAAGTGTTGAACAATGCACCATGTTGCAAGAAGCGTCCAGGTGATGGTAGCCCCTAGCAGTTCAGACTCTGGGTGACAGTAGCAGCTACCAGTTCTGACAACTTCTGGAGGTACCTGCAGAAAACTTCCTCCAAACCCTTTTCGTGCCCCATTCTCACAAAATGCAGAAAAGGTGGTGAACCCCTGCTTGGACTGTAGAATTTCAGATTGCAAATGGGGCAATGCAGCTCCATGGGGGGCGGACGGGACATCATAGAAAGCTAGCATGACAAGGAGAAGGCTCCGCTATATCTATGGCTATAACCCCATGGTGGGTTAAAATGGTTGGAGGGGCAATTTGCAGTGGGGAGTTGGAAAGGGAATAAGGTCCCCTGTCCTTTTACTCCTTCACTCTGAATTCTCCCAAAGCAGCTTCAACCGCATTAGGACTCTCCTACACATAACTGCTTGTAATATGCATTTAACCCCTTAGGCTCCTGTTGATGCAGTGGTTAGAATGTTAGGATCTGGGAGACCAGGGTTCAAATCCCCACTTGGGCCAGTCACTGCCTCTCAGCCTAACCTACCTCTCAGGGTTGTTGGGATTAAATGAGGAGCTGATTGGAGTAAAGGGTGGGATCGAAATGCAATAAATAAATGCAATCAATAAATCAGCCCAGGGTTTAACAATCACACAGCCACTGCAGTATATTTTTTGTGAACAACAACAACAACAACTCGGGCTCTATCAATCTAGTTTTGTGCATTAGCTGCCATTCTGCTTATTGCCAAGAAGAAAAACCTGGGGGGTGCTAAGAGATGGAACAAATTCTCCCCACTAAATTAATTCCCCCTACTCACTGCTCCCCAAAACAGTTGTCAATGGATGAAACATAGCCAGGATTGGAAAATTTATTGCCATCGCATTGGGTTTGCATAGCCATTGATTGTCATTGAGAAAAACATGATGCAATGCATGGTATAAAACAAAATAAAAATGTAATAAGGCAGTTTAAATCCTGTTGGAATGAACAAAATAAGGCAGAAAAGAAAGCAAATCTGCATTACCCTTCAGCTTAATGTAGCCCAAGTAGCACTCTCATTCCAGCTAATGAGACTTGATAGGATGTCATATGTATCCAACTTTATTTTTAATCTTCATTGCCCAGGGAGAAAAACTCACTGTCCCCTTTGCTTGTTGTCAGGCAATGGTCCAGGCTTTGAGTGCTCTCTGTCTTTGGCCCACAGGGGGCAGACTTAAGAAGACAGGTTGGTCCTGAGTTGAGAAACGAGGGGAAACCTTATATATCCATTCTCCAAATACAGATCCGTATGTAACCAAAAACAGAACTATCAATGCACAAGAGAAAGCTATGGGCAGGGCTGGAGGTTCTCCCAACCTTGCAAAAGAACAGTACTGTAAGTCTTTAGACAATAAAACCTTAAAGGAGAGCAACTCTCCAGAATTGCCCAATAAGGTCAGCATGGTCAGTGACCACTGCTGGTTGCCTGTTAGAGGGGTGGGGGAACGGAAGAATGAGGGAGAGGAGAAATGGGGTTTCCTGGAAGATGCCATGGCTGGTTGGCTGGAACATCTTGTTGCAGCCTGCCTCCAAGAAGCTCAGGGTCATGTGCCTAGTCCTCCCCTCTGCCTTTATTTTCAGTATAACCCTGTGAGGTAGGTTAGGCTGACAGTGAACGGTCCACCCAGTGAGTTTCATGGCTGGTATCACAATCCAGCGCCAACAGGGCATTTCATGCCTTTCCACTCAGCTCCGCCAGCTAAGCCAGACTCCAACGGAGGCCAGAAAAAAGTCCTTGCTGTAAATTCATGGAAGATAAAAGGCTATCAGTGGCTACCAGCCATGATGACTGTTCTCTGCCTCCACAGTCAGAGGCAGTCTGTTTCTGAGAGCCAGTTGCTGGACACTGCAGGAGGGGACAACACTCTTGTGCTCACATCCTTCTTGCAGGTTCCCCAAAGGTATCTGGTTGGCCATGGTGACAACAGGAAGCTGGACTGGATTGGCCATTGGCCTGACCCAGCAGGCTCTCTTACAAAACCGGGTATTCTGTCGGGGGTGCCAAACCAGCCCAGTATCTGCTGAATCTGGAGCTGGTTTTGTTCCCATCACCTGCTGTTTACCAGCAATCGGGCCAGTCATCCTCTTCCACCCTACCTTCTTCTGCTGCTGCTGCCATAGAAGGTTGGTCTGTGGATGTGGCTTGCTAGCTGGGAGTGGTGCCCTAAGTAGACTTTGAACTCTGGTCTTCCGAGACCATCGCTGTAAACATGTACTGGCTCTGTTGCTTGGCTTTTCTGTGATCTTGTTATAAACTGCATTCTAACAGCGGTTTTTTCTTTTTCCTTTTAACCGTCCTCCAACAAAAGAATTTTATATTCAAAAGCAAGAGGCATCAAAGCGACTTACAGGGGCCAGGAAGGCCATCCACGGACAGATCGATGGGCATTTATCCTGAATGCTTGCTCTGAGATGCTTCTTTGTTCCTCACCAGTTGGTGTCTCATTGGTGTCCTGCTGCTCTGCGTTGCTTGTGCTGCTGAACCTGGCTAAAATGCCTGTTTGTCAGCTTCCAGATGACCTGTTTATTGAACACCCATCCTGATTTGGTTCGCACAAAGCCTGTCCAGAGGTTATGTGACATCTGTTGTTTACTGGGCATGCATCCTGATTTGTTGGTGTGGCGGCTATATGATCCAGAACTTTTTAGAGTATTTGCCTGCCATTTCCCTTACCGTGCAAACTCCCTAAAAAATTAAAAGGTCAACTTGTTGTGCCCAAATACTTTAATCTACATGAATTTTCCGGTATGTGATGGCAGATCCACCAAGCCTCTCTATTTTCCAGGGACAGTCCCAGATTTACAGAAGCCATCCTGGTTTCTGATTTGATCCCAAAATGTCCCATTTTTCCTTAGGACACCCCTATTTTCTTCAGAGAAATGTTGGAGGGTATGCTTGACTAGACAGACCTGTGGCCTCATCCACCAGGACTCTTCTTTCGCTCTTACAATCTGCACGTAGGTAGGTTCTGTGCTGTTTTCTACATGGGAGTGTTTTGCGTGCAGGAAATCCATATTGTGAGAGGGAAGGGAATCCCTCAGGGAAACTGGCATTATCCTGAGCCAGCCCTGCCACCTACCCAGGTGTCATCACAGGACAAACGAGCACTTCAGGGCAGAATGAGACATTCGGCAGAAGGTTACTCCGATCAAATCAGAAATAAATAAGCACAAGGGGACCCAGGGTGAGCCTGCTCATACTATATCAAACACTTGTCTTCAGACCGCTGCAGAACACAGGATCAGAGCCCACTTACATGGCACCAGAAGTCATAATAGCCTTGAAATTCCCTGCTGTGTAAGCTAATGCTCATCTTCCGGGCCCGGAGATGGCAGGTGCCCACCCGTTTCATTCTCCATTCCCATAGCATCACTTCTTTTGCCATTTCGGCCCGCGTCTTCCCCGCCTGCACTTAGTCAAGCAGGCTTGATATCTTCTGACATGCTAAAAATGTCAGCCTTGCTCTCTATTAAAGGTCAGATCCTGATGGGTGGGTTTCCAAATGCCATCCCTTCTATCTGGCACCCTCCCAGGATGATGCTGGCATCTACCTGATGTTTCCATGGCGGGGGGGGGGGCGGCGTAAATGCCTTGGACCCTCACAGGGTCATCAGGGCCTTAGTGGGTTGGCTGAGAGTGCCTGATCTCACTCTTGACAGAGCACAGCAGGGAGGACCATATTCTGTCTGCTCAGCAAACTGCTGGCCATCTTCACGCTCTTCCCTCCCTGAAGGCTCCTGCTACAATTTCAGCGGGCTTCAGTGGACAGCTCAGTCTTGGCTTGTAGCCACCGCCAAGGGCTTCACGCCCAACTTATGCCTGCCTCCCATGCTACTTTTTCCAGCAAAAGCGTTTACAATTGAATGTGCAAATGGATTGCGTGTGAATGATAATGGCAGCCACACACGTGTCTCTTTTGCGCCTTGGCTTTCTGGCAATGCATTACCGGCAGGATCCGGTCAAAGTGAAGCATTTTGTCAGATTGTGCCCAGTGAGATTTTCTTCCCCCTTTAATGACATGAGTGCTAATTTTCTTCATTCGAAAATTGAATATATGAAAAGACCAGGAGGGAAAAGCAGTGCTAGCGGAAGAAGGCTATGAAAGATAATACTGATTAAAATAAGCTAATCACTTACCAGGGGAGAAAATGATTGAGATCTCATGATTAGACCTCACAGCAAGCACTGGGGGTCCAGGGATTGCAGGTCTGTGGCTTGAGAGAAGGCAGTTACCCAAATGGCCAGAGAATTGTTCCTTAAAAACATTTAATGTTTATTTTAAATCATGTGTTCATATATATATATATATAGTGTGTACTGGTGGGGGGAGTGAGTGTCCAGGCTGCAATGCAACAAGCAAGTAAAGTGGTACCTCAGGTTACATACGCTTCAGGTTACATATGCTTCAGGTTACAGACTCCGCTAACCCAGAAATATTACCTCGGGTTAAGAACTTTGCTTCAGGGTGAGAACAGAAATTGTGCTCCGGTGGCACGGCAGCAGCAGGAGGCCCCATTAGCTAAAGTGGTGCTTCAGGTTAAGAACAGTTTCAGGTTAAGTACGGACCTCCGTAACGAATTAAGTACTTAACCTGAGGTACCACTGTAGCTTCGTACTTTTAGTAATAATCAGAAGACCTTACATGTGCATTTCAATGGATAAATGGTTCTGCTTAGACCTGAGACACACCTGACTCCAAAAGCTACCCTCCACAAATGTTGTCATTGTGTGGGCCTGAGACTGGCTGTAGCCTAATGATAAGGGATCTGCTTTTCATGGAGAACCCCTGGCATCTCCAAGCAGGACTAGGAAAGACTCCCTGCCTGAAACCCCAGAGATGCGTTGCCAGTTAGTGCAGACCATTCTGAGCTAGGTGGACCAATGGTCAGACTCAGCACAAGGCAGCTTCCTGCGTTCCTTTGGTCACCATCCCCGAGCCTTATTTTCCTATCTGTGAAATGGGAATGATACTTCACAGGATTCTCATGAAAATAGGGAAGATAGTTAACTTGAAAACCATGGTTAGCTTTCAAACCACTTGCAAGCTAACCATGGTTTTCAAGTTAACCATGTTGTCTAAACAAGGTAACTGGATTTTTAGTAGTAGAATGAAATAAAACATCATTATTTTCTGGCAACTTTGGAGTTGCTTTAGAAACAGGACGGGCCCTCCAGATGTTGCTCCTATCAGTGCCAGCTGGCCTGGCTAGTGCCCAGGGACGATGGGAACTGGGGCAATCTCTGAAGGGGCAGTGGTTGCCCACCGCTGCTTTAAAACAAGAGTTACACCTTTGTTGTGTGTGGAGGTAGCATTATGCACAGGAAGCGATGTTTCCATGGGAACACCACAGCTGTCCAGGTTCTCCCCATTTTGCAGCTGCCTTGCAGGCAAAAAAAGCTCCCGCAATCCTCCTGGGCAGGAAGGTCAGGCTGCTTCATTAGCCCTTGCCCAACTGTGTTAAGTGGTGCCAGAGATGCTATGAAGCAGGGACCATTTTTTGTACGGAGGCGAGTCAAGTCAATTATTCCTGAAAGAGACAAGCTGAGAAAATAACTGTTCACACCTATTAATCCCCTGGTCCGCCCCTCTGCGCAGAGTCCGACCCTGTCAAGCAAAGGATAGAGCTCTAGCCTGGGAGCGGTGCCAACATGTGTTTTACAGCCACTGCATCAGAGTCAGGCTGTGTTAGGCTCACAGCAACACTGCGGATTAAGTGTCTGGTCAGCACAAATTAGTGTAACGCAGCGCAGAGCCGGGTTGCGCTCCTGCGGCAGGGAGCTCCAGCCCTGGAAGCTGCTTGTTTTTGCTAATGAGAGATGGAGCAGGTAGTTGGAGTTCTCGTTTGTTTGTTTATTTATTTAGTGTAATCTTTTCTCCCGCTTTGCAGGCAATTGTTGTCTCCCAAAGTGGCTCGGATACATTAGGAGAAAAAGACAGAGAGACAGGCCCTGCCATCCATCTCACAAAGATGCACAAAGGAAGGAGAATGGAGAGTATAGGTAGAGGAAGGAGATCAGCCCAACTCAGGCCAGAATGCATTGGTGAGCTATAAATGGGCACTTAAATCCATCTTGGGATTCAAGGCAAGGCTAATCTTCCCTTGGCAGTGCTCGTGCCTGAATAGCCCTTGTTGTCCCTGGTTCCTTGGCTGATCAGAGTGCCCCAGCGCAGTTGGAGTCCAGTCTTCTTTATTTATTTATTGTTTATTTATTGCGTTTATATCTCACCTTTTCCTCCAAGGAGCTCCAGGTAGCACATAGTTCTCCCCTATCTCCCTTAATCCCTACAACGACCCTGTCAGGTAGGCTGGGCTGAGAGGCAGTGACTGGCCCAAGATAACCCAAATTCTCACATTTGTCTTTTGTTGGGAGCAAGGATTCTTTAACATGCACCCACATTTGTTGCGCGTAGCATTTGCAGAAGAGAACATCTACTATAGGGACTAGCTGATCTCAGATGAACCCAACGCAGTTTTGAAAATTACGCTATGGGCACTTCCAGACTGCTGGTGATTTGGGGTAGAATTCCATCACACACCAGCAAATTCAGGCTGTGCAATTCTAGTTCAGGGGAGAACTTGCTCAACAAACTTACTCCCCAATGAAGATCAGACTTTTTGCTGTAAGGAAAGTGACAGGGAAATATGCTGGAAAATGTGGGATGCTGTTGGCTAACCTCCCTGCAAACAAATCAGAATGAAGGCTCAATAAAGAAGTTGTCTGGAAGCACCCCTGGCGAGCCAAATTGGTAAAGAGCTCCTATCTCGTTTCTGTGCTCAACTCGGAACAAAGCAGTTTCTTATGGGAAATGCTGCCTAAATGGGAGTTTGTCATATTCCTCTTTATCTCTGACTCACATGTACAGGGAAACGAGTGATGTGAAGGCCTTTGGCAACCCCGGAACTGAGGAGTGCTATAGAAAGCTGACGGCTACACAACAGAATTCAACATGCATTCAATCGACATACTTGACAGGACCCCATTTTTGTTGTTGCATGTATGTACGTGCATGTATGTGTGTTTAGTGGAATACTTTGATTCACTCCCCCTCACTCTTCCTCCCTCAGATATTTCCACTCTCCTCTGGTAGCAATTTTATCTTGTTTTGTTGTCATTTGAAACCATCCTCTGCTTGGGTTGTCATGGAAACTGGCTTGTTTGTTTTCCTGCACTAAGAAGAAAGCTTAACTAACTCTGACACTCCCTAAGACTCAGCGTGTGGCCACCTTGGGGGGGTGAGGGGGGTCATTCTGCTTGCAGACCTGGCCCACGGCCTGTCACCGGACATGCAAGAAGCTTCTCATCTCCTTTCACAAGTTATGCCATTTCATCCCCACACCTCGATTTCTCGGAGTCCCAAAGGCTAGAGCTGTGAACTTTTCATCTCTTGATGGGCTCCTGTTGAGTAATACTCGCTCATGGCTTTTGAATCTTACCTCCCTCTTCACAAAGATGTTTTCGGTCATATCATTTCCATCAGAAGTGCTCCCAAATGGGTCTGTTCCTCATTTACAAGCCCTAAAGTTTAGGATCTAAACAATGTTATACACCCCTGGTCTCTGAGTGATGAGAAGTCACAGAGTAGGAAAGGGATGTGGGATCTATGGCCTTCCAGATGTTTTTGGACTCCTGTTCCTATCATGCCTCACTATTGGCCCTTTTGACAGGGGTTGGTGATGAGTTGGAGTCCATCAACATCTGTATGGCAACAGGTTCTGCCAGGGCCGGATTTAGGTTTGATGAGGCCCTAAGCTACTGAAGGTAATGGGGCCCTTTATATGTCCAGCTGTCCTTTGTCAACAACAAATTGTCACTGTTTTTTTGTGTTGAATATATGCCATATGGTAATTTATGGACCTAACAGGTATCTAAAGCCATTTGCACATAACAAAATATGTATTTTATCAAAGTAATTGTTGAACTTTAAATTTTTTTGGGGGGCCCCCAAGAGAGTGGGGCCCTAAGCTATAGCTTTTTTAGCTTATGCGTAAATCCGGCACTGGATTCTGCACCCCTGTGCTGGTGACATACTGCAGGGTTTGGATTCTTCTGGGTGACTGAGTGCTAGAGAGAGTGAGAGTATATTTTGTTTACTTACAGAGAAATACGACACAGTGGAGGCAAGCAGGCACTCCTTCAGCAGGCAGCAGATCTCCATGGAACAACATAAGCAGCCACATACACAGATGCGCACACATACACCCCCCCTCATTTTCAGCTAATTCTATCTGGAAACTCTTAGCTCTGTTCCTGTACCATATTCCAAACTGTACTTCCTTACCTGCTCAACTGCAGAGCACTAGTCTCAGGCACCGCTCCTGCAGGTAAACTGCCCATTCCTGGGACTGCCCACAGCCATCAAGAAAATGGACGTTATTTTGTCAAGAAAGTTGACATTATTTTGTCATGTCCTTAATCGAGCTGGCCCAGTTCACCAGCAGTAATACTGACGGTGAAGATATAAAAAGCTGAGATTAAAATCAAACCTCCCTTATCTATTATATAATAACAGCCTTCCATGTCTGCAGGGTGTGATTCTAAAGTACTTATCAGAGACAGTTCAGGGATCAAACAAGCCGACATACTTCCTCGATATGCACAAAGGTAGCCGTTGGGTCAAATGTGCTCCCCATTGCACAAAAAACCCAAAAGATTTCCTATTAAGGTTCAATCACAACGGGATTAAATGGGTTTGTGTGAACTTGGACGATACACAATTGAAGGAAACTTGGAAAGTTCCAACAATGAACTTTAAAATACTTGTGGGCTCCAAATGCTTATAGCAGGGTTTTGTTTTTTTCTGAAGATACTAAGGGTATGTACCGACATACCATGTTATGTGCTGTTGGTGCCGTAAGGGTGCATGTTTGCCCTTCACAATATGGATCTAGCTTTCTTGGAAAGGGTACGACCTGTTATGGACCCCCCCCCCCCTGCCCAAGTCATTTCACCTGAAAGTGATTTAGATGTATCTTCACCATGAAGACATAGATCAGAAAAAGTCACAAGTGGACCTCACACACAATCTCATTGCAGATTTGGCTTTAAAGGGGGATTAGAAAAAAATCATGGATAAGACTGTGAATAATGGCCATGAATCATCAAGGCTATACCTGTAGGATCAGAGACTGTAGACTTCTGAATGCCAGTTGCAGGGAACAACAAGAAGAGAGGGCTATTGCTCTCATGCCCTTTCCAGAGGCATCTGGCTGAGCACTATTGGAAACAGTACGTTGGACTATTCCTGCATTGCAGGGGGTTGGACTAGATGACCCTTGGGGTCCCTTCCAACTCTACAGTTCTATGATGCTGTGACAAGAGAAGACTTTGGTCTGATCCATCAGGGCCCTTTTTATGTGCAGATTCCATGCTAATACCTGCCTGGGATACTTTGTAACATTAGAAGCAGCTTGGGAAAGTTGTGCCGCTGGGTTAATGGGTGCTTTGTTTGTTCCCCAGATGTGCCCTGATCTGTTGACAGGAGGTAATGAAGTTGACCTCCCACTGAACAGATCATTATGTGCTCTGGGGAACAGAATGGAAATACTTCCATGCTGTGGGCACGCTGTCCCTGGCTGGGTTTCAAATCTAAGGCAAATGGTTAATTTGCACTTGGTCAGGTGTCCTGCTTCAATATCTATCAAGGAGATCTTACTCATTCTGCCTGTTCAGTGAAATCACCCCTGCTTTGGTCGCCTTTTCAAGACATTGAAATGTTAATCTTTGCCTCATATCACAACATCCGCTTCATGATTAACTTACCCATATGATCTTGCAAAGAGCTTTGGCCACTGTTTTGCAGGATCCTTCCAGGACACACACACACAGACACACACACACACACACACACACACACACACACACCAGTTCCAGATGCAGCTCTGTCTGTCTGCACAGTTTGGGATATTCATGGGGAAGGAGGAATATCTGGCTTGGAGGGACTTCCTTCAATTGGATTGCCCTGCTGCTGTGCCCGCTTTTATTCCCAAAACGGAGCTTTGTCAGCTTAACTTGTGCTAAGGAAGGCAAGGGAGTGTGAAATTGACAAGATCCTCTTCAAATCGGTGGAAATGGATTAGGAAGTGATGGAGTGGGCAGCATGAAAAGAACTTAACTATAACAATGGAAACAATTAACAAAGATCTTGAGCATCAAAGTTTCGTTGCAAGTGGAAACTCAGTGTTGCTAGTGCTTGTCTCTTTCTTTTTTTAAAGGGCTGCTTGATATGGCAGAAAAGCTCTCATCACTATTTTGCAGGAGGTATTCAAGTGTATACCAGAACTTTAGGTTTGCTCATTTAAAATGGATGAAAGGACCTTGTCGCCATATAGCACAACAAATCCACTTTAACAAAGAGCTGGACATCACTTTCTTAAGTGAGGAGGAAATACCATACATTCAAAAGTGTGGGGTGAATTAATGACTTTCAGGAAGATGTATAAACATGTCACAAGCAAATCAGAATGACTGTTCAATAAAGACCAGGTGTAATCTAGCCCCTGCAAAAGCTTGATCAAGGTGAATGCTGAATAAACTGCCCGTCTGGAGGAGCCATCAGGCTCAAATAGGTGGAGACACATAGAGCATAACTTAAGAAATTGACCTGTTTGAAAACACAATTAGGAAAAAGATTCAATTACTCACCATTGATAATGGCATAGGCACTAGCCAATAGGTGCTCTTCCCATGATACACTAGCTGTCAGGAAGAGAACTGCCTTTTCCCAGGGTCAATTTAATGTGGCTGGGAGAAAGGAAAATGCAGTTTCCCTGTGAGAAATTCCAAAGGGGTTCTTTTTTGGGTGGTGGGACAATGGATTTCTGACAGCTACCAAGTGACAAGAGTGCAATTAATATGCTGTTGAAAATCATCTGGAAATGCCCCTAGGTGGTGAAGCCCTGGGAAGCTAGCCATGGGAAAATCACATTAGGTGAGTCTATGGAAACTGCTCTTCATGCTGAACAGGTCTTTGCAGTGTTGATTTATTCCTGACAATAACTGATGCTTCACTGAGTGAACGCCTGCAGCATCACTGCTCTCATCCAAGCGTCTCTTACACCATTTGGAAAAGGTCAGCCCTGAAGTAGGAGCCCATCCTCCCAGATTCCCCTGTCATGAAACAAGCACCTGAAAGAATGAGTGTGTGTCTCATGAATGGGCCTACAGGTATGCCTGCACAAAAAAAGACTTAGAAAGGGAGAGTTCTTTGGCACAGGCAAATGTCATCTCGTCCTGACAAATAGTGAGGAGCCCTGGCAAAGGCTTAAGGAGAGAGGAGTACAATAGTTTAAGGGGAGCAAAGCAGCTCTCAGTGAGGGCAGCTGCAGAAATCGAATGGCTGGCCCTAGGTGAGTAGGAGCAGGAGCAGTGTTGTCTGCAGGGCAGCCACGCAGGAGCATGTCAATCACTTGCTGCGTTATGGGAACAAGCGGAACTGCTTGTTTGATTCAGCACCTTTCAGTACTGAGAAAACAAGATGGAACTTTGAAAATGCATGGCTGCCTCCAGATTGTCCTTATTTTGTGGGAGGCGTTCACATCCATACCAGGTTCGTGGAATTAAAGTGGTTTCCCTACCAGAACAAATCTATTTTTAAAAACAACTTTAAGAAAAATGATGTGAAGTGCGCTGAAATGTGTGGGGTTAACAAATAATGAATGGGAAGATGTGTAAACACCCCACAAGCAAATCAGAACAAATGCTCATGAGTGTTGTATAACCGCCCCATTAACAAACTGGAATAAATGCTCATAGTCTAACCACCCTGTAAACTTTGTGTAAGCAAATCAGGATGGATGCTGAATAAACATGACGTCTAGAGAAGTCCTGTGACTCAGAGTAATAACAAAAAATGTCCTTAGTGCCCTCCCTCCATTCTGACATTTGAACAGCAAAAAGGTAAAGGTAAAGGGAACCCTGACCATTAGGTCTAGTTGTGACTGACTCTGGGATTGTGGCGCTCATCTCGCTTTACTGGCCGAGGGAGCCGGCGTACAGCTTCCGGGTCATGTGGCCAGCATGACTAAGCTGCTTCTGGCGAACCAGAGCAGCGCACGGAAACACCGTTTACCCTCCCGCTGGAGCGGTACCTATTTATCTACTTGCACTGGCGTGCTTTCGAACTGCTAGGTTGGCAGGAGCAGGGACCGAGCAACGGGAGCTCACCCCATTGCAGGGATTCGAACTGCCAACCTTCTGATTGGCAAGTCCTAGGCTCTGTGGTTTAACCCACAGCACCGCATTTAATCCTTAAAGCCTCGTAAGTCTTTAAGGCTGCGATCATACATTCACTTACCTGGGCATAAACCCCGCTGAACGCAATAGGAATTATTCCTGAGTAGGCATGTAGAGGATTAATCTGTAAGTGTCTATTCTGCCCCCAACACGAAAGATGGGGATAGGTTCATTTAGGATTACTACTTTCCCCAAAGAATGTGACTGAACTAACCAGCCCCCGATCACTTGCGCAAGTCATTGTTATGAATGCTGCGCAAATCTGTCAGCTAGGCCTGGTCATACCTTTGTCAGGCAAATTGCTTGGCTACTATCCCAGAATGGCTGAAGGGTATTTTTCCAGGAGCCAGGAAATAGCTGGGTCTTCTTTGAATGCAGTAGGGGCATAACTCTCTCCAGCTAGGATGACGTAAACCAGATCTCTGTATGAGAGGAGCAGGTTGGGGGACAGTGAGAGAAGCCACAATTTTTGAGACGGAGGACGCTGCAGTGGGAGATAGAGAGATAAAACTTTGAGCTCTTGGAAGATACTTTGGGACTGTCTCCCTGGGGAAATATAATGTGGGATAGTGGGTTTGCTGTTTGTAGGAGTGTTATGTTGCCTGTCACCCCCTATAGTCCTTGTAAATAAACTCAGATGTAACACATAAATGCCTTGAATTGGCAATCTCTTATGCTTCCTTGGCTAAAGGAAACCAAACCAAATTAAACACTGCCCTGGAAACACTAATAAAACAACAACAGCTAGTCTGTTCTGAAGCCAGAAAAATACCAGGCATTTTAATTTAATAAAATTGTAGAGCTGGAAGGAATTCCAAGGGGCATCTAGTCCACCCCTCCTGCCCACAGCTATCCCAACCTTATGATTAACAGCCAGACCCATTGCACCACTGGGTTCAGATGGTCATGAATGCTGGCAAAAGCTTACCAAATAGCACCTGCAGTCCAGTGTTAACCAAGAAA